GTTTGGTGTTACTAAAACAATGTCATCAGCAAAGCGGAGGTGGTGTAGTTGCCGACCATCTATCTTCACTCCCATTCCTTCCCATTCCAGTCGTCTCATGATGTTCTCGAGGGTGGCACTGAAGAGTTTCGGTGAAATGGTATCACCCTGCCGCACCCTTCTCTTGACATCAATGATCACTTCTTTGTAGAATGGTGAGATCCTGGTAGTGAATCCGCAATACAGCTCACGGAGGATCCTGATGTATTGGGCTTGAATGCCCTGATTGGCTAGGGCTTCAATGACCGCTTCCGTCTCAACAGAATCAAAGGCCTTCTTTAAATCAATGAACGTTAAACAGCGGCATCTTGAACTCCCGAGAAACCTCAATGAGCTTGGTGTTTCGTGTGGATATGGTCGATGGTGCTGAATCCTTTGCGGAACCTGGCTTGCTCGCATGGTTGTCCTTCATCTAGTGTTCTGCCAATCCTATTTAGGATGACTCGAGTGAACAACTTGTAGATGACAGACAATAGGATAGTTGCCAATGTCATGGATGTCTCCCTTCTTGAACAGTAGTACGGTCCTGCTGGTTTTCCATTGGGACGGAACCTTGCATTCAGACAGGTAGCGAGTGAAGAGCCGAGCCAGTGTATTGATGAGTACTGACGGCAGGTTCTTCAGGTGTTCAGGTCTGACCTTGTCTGGGCCGGGTGCTGTTTGTTTCTTTACCGATGAAATGGCGTGTCGGATTTCGGAAGGGAGAATTTTGGGAACGACATATCCATCCTGTGGAATTTGGTATGTCGGCAAGTGGACATGGCTATCGAAGAGATTTGAGTAGAAGTCATGGATAATCTTCTCCATTGCCATTCTGGAGGATGTGATGGATCCATCAGGACGTCGGAGGGCAGTCATCTTGGTCTTGTAGTTGGCGAAGGACAGGCGGGCGTAACGAATACTTTTCCCGGCTTCTGCCGCATCTATCAGTACTTCTGCTCTTCTCTCTTTGAGGTCTTCCTTGATCGCATCTCTGCACTGCTTTGGGAGCTCAGACATTAGCTTGCGGTTGCCTGAGGCATGCGCCAAACCACGCTGGCGAATTAGCTTAATCCTAGTCATAGTCCTAGTCTAGTCCCTCTCTTACCCTTTGCAGCATAGCTATATAGAAGTCTTAAAGGGTGGGGCTACACATAGGTGGGGTTGAACATTATCATAACAACAAATGGATGTAAAGCCACTCCTTTGAGTGAGGAGCTTATTTAAGGACAAAAATCTTATCTGAGGGTTCAGCACTCCAGATTACTAGGAGATCCTCTCAAGGGCGGGATTCCATCCAGGGTGTGTTACTTTCTCCTTTCCTCAGCTAGTAATTCATTTAAACAATTATAATGATTTACTTCTTATAACATTTCTGGGCTGGAGTAATAACACAGCGGGTAGGACGTTTGCCTTGCATGCAGCCAACCCAGGTTCAATTCCTCCGCCCCTCTCAAAGAGCCTGGCAAGCTACCAAGAGCATCCTACCCTCACGGCAGAACCTGGCAAGCTGCCATGGCATATTCAATATGCCAAAAACAGTAACAACAAGTCTTACAACGGAAACGTTACTGGTTCCCACTCAAGCAAATCAAAAAACAACAGGAGGACAGGGCTACGATGCTAACATTTCTAGTCATTTTGTATGAACACAGTAAGAGATTTATTCAATCACAATCACGATCATCCTGTTGTTCATTGATTGCCTCGAGCAGGCACCGGTAACATCTCCTTCTTCCTAGCCCTGAGATTTAAAAAGAGCCATATTCAATACTCTTTCAGGGTTAGGAGAATGAGACCCATCATTGTTACTGGGTTTTGGTATATTGAGTACGACATGGGAAGTTTGCCAGAATCTACGTGCGGGCAGGATACTTTCTTTAGCCTGCCAGGTTCTCCAAAAAAAAAAAAAAAGAAAAGAAATAATAAGATGTTGTCCGGCCGCATTTGCGGCCGCGTGCTTCCGGGAGCTGGGTTTTATAGTCTCTTCGTCTTGTTCATTGATGGGACCAACCTGGCACTGGCGGCAGCTGGTGGGCGTGACACCTACCTACTGGAAGATGGATCTGGGTGGAGAAGGCCCAGTCCCAATCTGAGTAGGCTTGGAAATCTCAGCCCCGGGACCCACATGCCTGGGTTCCTCTGCCAGTTCCTTTATGCATGAGGCTTGTACAAACGTGTGGAGAGTGGTCTCAGCATGGCTGAGATTTATTAAGCTTAAAGATTGGCTCTTCCTGGGGACATCTCGCTATATATCCCAGACTATAGTTCTCAGGCCAGGTTAGTCTTTCCTAACCCCAGCAAGGTCCTTATTCAGTTACTTCTTTGTGGGTCATCACAGGGCTTGTCTCATATCCATGCTCGTAACTTATACTTAATGGTGCATAGCTTGTCCCCTTTCAATGCCAAGGTAGCTTACAGCTTGCCCTGGGTCCATCCAGTCCCTTTGACGGGTCCCTGCTTTTGGAGTGCTAGAAACTAAGGGCAACTGAGGCTTAAGTCAAGTAAATACAGATGCCTGGGAGTGAGTATTATTTTGGACTCAATTAACTCCCACAGATTACAAAACACAGCATGGACTGTCTTCCTGTGTCTATACAAAATGGACATTGCTAAACCATGCACGTGACATAAAGGAAAGAGAGAAGCAATATAGGATTATTAGTGCTTGATGGAATTGGGTGTACTTCAGGAGCACTGTTATGGGAGTAACTCAACAAACCTAAGCTCCCTGCAGAGGAACAAGGACAATCCAGTGTTATCCAACATCCACTCCTCTGCCCCCCCCCCCCCCCGAAAAAAAAAGGTAGATCCAAAGGAGCAGAATAAAAATGGGGCTGGAGCAATAGCACAGTGAGCAGGGCTTTTGCCTTGCATTCGGTCGACTCGGGTTCAATTCCTAGCATCCCATATGGTCCCCAGAGCACCGCCAGGACTAACTCCTGAGTGCAGAGCCAGGAGTAACCCCTGTGCATCGCCAGGTGTGACCCAAAAAGAAAAAAAAAATAAGGCTGGAGTGATAGTAGAAGTGAGTGGATTGGGTGCTTGCCGTGTGCATGGCCAACCCGGGTTTGATCCCCCGGTACCATATGATCTCCCTAGCATTGACAGGAGTAATTTCTGAGCTCAGAGCCAAGAGTAAGCCCTGAGCACTACTAGGTGTGGCCCCAAAACCAAATTTTTTAAAATTCTTCAAACAATATAAAAACTTATAAAACTTGAGGAAATAAAAGCCAAAGTGGTAGTTCAATCAAATCTAACTAAATTTACAAAACTAACAAAGGGAAACTTGAAACCCTATGTTTGCATAAGAAAAAAATGAAGTCCTCATCTAAGTTTTGCCTTCCTGAGCTATATAAATAGGAGCATTTGAGCATTAACAACAACAGTAAATTAGGGGTGGGGGGAAGAAGAGCGGGTGGGGTGGAAGGGATTCTTCACTCTATAGAAAGGAACAAAGGGCAAAACCAAAAATGGTCAAACTTAGTGAAAATGATGGGCTTCTCCATTCCGAAAGACACTGTTAAGAAAATGAGAAGACCAGCCACAGACTGGGAGAAAATATTTGCAAAGTACCTGTCTTGTAATGCAGAGATTCCACTCTTACTCATCTACCCTCAAAAAAACAAAGACATATGCACAATAGGTTTGTTGCAAGATTAATTTTACTAGTCCAGCAACAGATGAATGAACAAAAAAATCATGGCATGTATGTGTATTGGACTCAGTTCTGAGAAAAGATGGAGTCTTGCAGTTTGCCCCAACTTGGACAGAGGTGGAGACTGTCAATGCTACGTGAACTGGGTTAGAAAGAAAAAGACACGTGCTGGATGGTCGTGCTAATACTCCGAGGGCAAAGTGAAAGAGAGAGAAATCCTCGTGGAAGCAAATTCAGAGATACAGTTAATAGAACTGTGAACTGCAGAGACAAAGGGGAGAAGAAAACAGATGCCACCGGGGGCTAAAGGTTCTGACAGTGTGGTGTGCATAGGGCAGCAGATCTGCAAATATCAAAGTGTAATATCGGTTCTACTGTAAGCTGTCATACCTTAGTAAAACTTGATTTCAAAAAATTCAAACTAAAAAATGAAGTATGATTTTGATCCATCCCCTGAAGAGGAAATACCTAGAAATAGATCTAACAAAATATACACAGAATCTACGCTGAGAAGTACACACAAAGCTGATGGAAAAAAATCAAAGGTGTGACACTACACTTTAGAATGAGATACTGTAACATGAAATTTGCCAGGTGAAGAGACATTCTTAATTTAGTTTCCCACTTGTGTGATTTGGGGAAATTGACAGGAAGAGTTTGGATTTTGGTCTTCATCACTGAAAATGTGTATGCTGAGGCAGTAGTACAAGAAGTAAAGCATCCCTTAGCTGTGTCCCAGGTACCACAAATTGTCAACAGAGTACCACCAGGGGTCCCTTCTGAGCACAGAGCCAAGGATAGTCTCTGAGCAGTGTCAAGTATCGCCCGCAAAGTAAAACACACCCCCCAAAATACAATAATTTCTTCCTTACAAGATTTTTGTAAAGATTAGACTAGTCAAAATGACAAAATTTTCTTCAAAATTGACCAAAAAATTTTTATAACATCTTAATGCTATAAAATTGCTTGTTTTTGTATAGACGTAAGAGGATAATATAAAAAATACTAGAATAATATGGCAAAAAATACCTGGCAAAATTTTCTACTGTAAGTATTTAAATAGTAACTATGGCAAGTAGGCTTATACTCAAACACTTTGATTATTTATTGCTAGTAAATGGATTCTGTTGAGTGGTCACTCCTTGAAAAAAAAGATTTTCCTTTAAATGGTGGCTTTAATATCTATGTACTTCTGTACATCAGCTGCCAAAGGGAGAACAGTATCTTTTCTGCTCTAATATCTTAGAATAAGTATAATTTCTAAGCAGATCATTGGAGAGAGAAAAATTTGATGTACCTTATGCTTCTTTTTCTCTTATTTCAGGTCAATGAATACCTTTTTAATAATTTACCTAATAATTCTTATATCTGAAGCCATCATCAGTACTATCTTAAAATACACGTGGCAAGCTGAAGAAAAATGGGATGAACCTTGGTATAACGAAAAAACAGAACATCAGAGAAATAGTAGTAAGGTATTTTATGGTGCTCTTGGCTCTGCTGTAACAGACCTTTGTCCCTTGGCACAGCGAACCTTCTGATAGTGGCTTTCTAAAGGAGTCACCACTGTGCGCTCTCAAGACCATTAGTGCTAAAGGGGTGACAAAGGACATTCACTGCAAATTATGAGCATGTTTGTACTAGGATGTGCTTGCGTTTTAAGGATTAATTTTATTCCCTGTGTCATGACTTGGAAAGTCAGGAGATTATCATGAAATCTGAAATATCTGTGTTGACATTCTAATACTTTAGTAGTACAAATTTTGTGTTTTATTCTGTTCTAAGTGAATTGTAAGAGTAAGTTGGATTTTTTTTTATTGCTCTTGGAAAAATTTAGGAGTCGTATTGTCAGTCTAATAGCATTGATATTTTTAAACTGATCAAGTATAGGACTGCCTAGAGAACCTAATTAATTAGCAGCTGTAGTTGGACTTAATCTCTCGGGTAGAACAGCAGGTAGAGTACATGCCTTGCACATAACTGACCTGACTTTAATCCTTGGCACCACATATGGTCCCCTGAGCGCTATCAGGAGGGACCCTTGAAAACAGAGCCGGGAGTAAGCCCTAAGCACTGATGTGTGTGCCCCCTGCTCCCCTCAAAAAATCATTCTCCAAATTTCATTTTAGGTTTAAATACTGGATTGCTTTGCTCTAATAAAATAATGACTTCAATGATAATATAAACTGATGCCCCAGTTAAAAAATTAAATAGATATAAACAGTAAGAATTATAAATATATATATAAATATTAGAAGACAAACTTGAGACTGAAGATCACAAAGAACAAATGTATTGGGACTGGAGGGATAGTACAGTGGGGAGGGTGCTTGTCTTGCATCCAAGCATCCCATGTGGCCCCCAGCTGCTACCAGAAATGATTCCTGAGCACAGTGCCAGGAGTAAGCTCACAACACCACTGAGTGTGGCCCCAAAAGACAAGGAAGGAAAAAGAAGAAGCATATTTTTAGTATCATTCATTAGTTACGTATTTTACCTTTCACAGAATATATGTTACTTCTTTAGGAGCGATAGCCCAGCAGTAGGGTGTTTGCCTTGGGCCAGCCGGGCCGGCCGGGCCAGGTTCAATTCCTCTGCCCCTCTTGGAGAACCTGGCAAGCTGCCGAGGGTATCTCGCCCACACAGCGAAGCCTGGCAAGCTACCCATGAAGTATTCAATATGCCAAACGCAGTAACAACAAGTCTCACAATGGAGATGTTACTGGGCCCGCTCGAGCAAATCGTTGAACAACGGGAGGACAGTGCTACTGACTATGGTACTTCTTGGCTATTTAAATGTAGACTGTTTTATGTAAGCTGTAATTAAGCGTTTAATTTCTGGCAGTGCTAGCTTAGTAGTCACTCCATAATTTTTAAAAATTACTGTATTTTCAGTTAGCTGTGATTTTTGAAGAGTAAGGGTAGAATGGTAAGTATACCCAAGAGATTATAATTACAGTTTGGCCAGTAGTAGTTTCAGTTACACCAGGCTTTTGGGTAGCTTCTGAAAAGCAACACAATAAATAATTTGAATTTCCACCTTTTCTTTCACTTTGTTCAGATTCTAATAAATAATAAATTAAGCAAAGAAAATAGCATGTTAAAAAGATAATCCCATAATGAATTTTTAACTTGTAAGACTATTCTACGCAGTGGATAGTTGATGTTCCGTTTAGATATGACTTCTTTGCTAATTTACTTCAGTTATACCAGAGAAATTCTCACGTTTATATCAAACAATTGTTTTTTTTCCCCCTTAGATTCTGAGATTCATTTCAGATTTCCTTGCTTTTTTGGTCCTCTACAATTTCATCATCCCAATTTCATTATATGTGACAGTCGAAATGCAAAAATTTTTAGGATCATTTTTTATTGGCTGGGATCTTGATCTCTATCATGAAGAAACAGATCAGAAAGCTCAAGTCAATACTTCTGATCTGAATGAGGAGCTTGGACAGGTAAAAAATGGTTCTTTTACAACCTCTTCAAGAATGATGCAGGGAAAACTGGATAAACTTATAAAAAAGTAAAGCTGGGTCCGTATCTCACACCTTACACAAAAGTCAATTCAAAGTGGATTAACTGGAATCTATAAAGTACACTTAGGAAAATATAGGCAGAATGCTCCATGATTTGGACTTAAAACGGGTCTTCAGTAATGTGATGCTTTGGCAGAGACAACAGAACCAAAAATAAACAAGCCAAATGCTTAAATTAAAAGACACCTAGCTGAATTGAAGAAAATATTTGCATACTACACATATGATAAAGGATTGGTATCAAAGATAAAGTACTCAGAAAGAATATATGCAGATTTTTAATGATGCACATCTGTAAATGTTTTAATGAAATGTAATTTTTTAAAAGTAAATTTGGTTCTCATCCAAAAACAAAAAAGAGGTTCTTTTGATTCTCTAATTTTAAAATTTTGACCCAAATCATACATGCATAAAGAGTAATAAAACAAAATATTACAAGGTTTGTACCAAAGAGTAGTCCTACTTTGCTCCACACATGACTCTTCTTTTTAATTTTTTTAATTTTTAAGTGTAGATAACATCTCTTCCATTACTAAGTATTTCACTTCTATATATAATTCTTTCTTGAATTATAGACATTATTTACTGTGAGATTTAAAGTATATTTTTATACTGCTTATTACACTCATTTTGGCAAAGTTTCAACGGAATCAGAGATGGTTTCATTTGTTCAACCTACCATTTTTGTGTATTTGTTCGTTTTTATTTTTCACTGGGGATGGCCATTCCTGCCATTGCTCAGGGTGTCTGCCTGGCTCTGTGCTCAGGGCTCATTCCTGACGGTGCTTGGGGGACTATCTGTAGTGCTGGAGATCAAACTGGGTCAGGCACATGCAAGAAAAGTACCTACCCCCCTCCCATGCTATCTTTTCAACCCCTCAACTTATCATTTTAATTTTTATTTATATACTATTTATTTTGGTCTGGGGGCCACATCAGCAGTGTTCACGGCCCAGGGCTCACCCTTGGTGGTGCTTGGAGAACCATGTGAGGTGACAGGATTGAACCTGGGTCGGCTCCAGGCATGACAAGCACCCTGCCCATTGTCCTATGTCTCTGTTCCCTCAACCTATCTTTTTTAAGCCACAATTTGACCTTTATTTTTAATGACATTTAGAAGGCTTTAAAATATATATAAAACATTAGTTCAGGAAAAAGAATTGTTCCAAGTAAAATGTTTTATGGGTTGAAGACATAGTAGAGCAGGTTAGACACTGGATTTACATGTGATGGGCCCGGGTTTGATCCCTGGCACCACGTCCAGTCCCCTAAATCCTGCCAGTACCGATCTCTGAGCACGGGTTTCTTGATTTTGTGAGGTGGGGGGAGAAGAATTTGTTTTTTTAACATGGGACCATGTACTCAGAGGTTTGCTATATTGTTGTTTTCCCTCTCTGTAGGTGGAGTATGTGTTTACAGACAAAACTGGTACGCTGACAGAAAATGAAATGCAGTTTCGGGAGTGTTCAATCAGTGGCATGAAATATCAAGAAATCAATGGTAGACTTGTTCCTGAAGGACCCACTCCAGACTCCTCCGATGGAAACTTGTATCTCAGTAGTTTATCCCACCTTAACAACTTATCCCACCTTACGACTAGTTCCTCTTTTAGAACCAGTCCTGAAAATGAAACTGAAATAGTAAGTGATTTTTAAATCAATAGGTGTTTCATTAGAAGTAGTTCTCTTTCACAATCGGTGCATTATAGAAGAAAAGTTAAATGTTCTTAGGGTGAGGAGTATATGTTTGAAACATATATCCTGTGATTCATTGAATGGGAACTCAAGAACCCAGTATAATTTGCCAATTAAGATGTGTTTGCCTTCGTTTTCTGTTAATTAAAGGAAGTAAGGAAGCCCTTACTGCCTCTGAATTAAAGATTTTGCTGAGAAATAGAACTTGAAGTTTCTTCTTTCTGAGATGTCAAAAAGGTTTCCCCTTTACTTGCAATTCAGTTATGGCTCTTAAAAAAAACACTCATGGTGGAAGGCCATAAGCAAATGTGGCATTTTAGCCTTTGAAATCTGAAGTCACCAGCTGCATTCAGGCAATTCTGGATGGTAGCATTCCTGCTCCAGTTCTTCGGTGACCAGATCAGTAACATTAGTCACTGACATTTTAACAATTATTTGCTTCCTGTTACTTGGGAATGCTATTTTTATCATGAATATTCTGTTCCTACAGATTAAAGAACATGACCTCTTCTTTAAAGCAGTCAGTCTCTGTCACACGGTCCAGATCAGTAATGTTCAGATGGATGGCATTGGTGATGGGCCCTGGCAGTCCAATCTTGCGCCCACCCAGCTCGAGTACTATGCTTCCTCCCCAGATGAAAAGGCTCTAGTGGAAGCTGCCGCAAGGTAATTGAGTCTCATTTTTAAGCCTCCACATGCATTCTCCATCTTGGGAGACACCACATATCAACCTGAGATGTGTACTCTTCCTCTTCCTCTCTCTGCCCACCTCATATTTCTCTTAAAGAAAACTCTTTTGTTATGCATGCGCACGCGCACGCACACACACACACACACACTCTTCAGAAAAACAAAATATGAGAAAATACCAGAAAATTAGCATTTTAACTTGTCATGCTAAATTTATAAACGCCTAGAGATAGAAGTGTATTTTAAATTTTAAGTGATGTTTTAAATAAACCTTCAATTTTGTTGTGAAGAAAAATTATTGCATGTACTTGCATAAATGCATGTTGCATGTAAGGCATAAATGTTCATATTTTGAAAAGATTGATCTTTTGCACAAATCTTATTACTATGAAATAAGAGTAGCACAAGTTATAGGAAATAATAGTGTATTATTATGGCTTGACTCTGATCCTCTAAGTTCTTAAAAATTTAGTCTGAGAGACCATAGATATAAGGCACTTGCCTTGCGTATGACAAACCTGGAACACTGCCAGGACTAACCCCTGATCTCCGAGCTTAGAGCCAGGAGTAAGACCTGAACACAGCTGGGCATGGCCCAAAAGCAGACAAACAAGCAAGTTATGCAATATGCAAAGAAAAACCTTTAACATGCCTCTCAAAATTGTATTTTAACTGTTTTTGTGCATATTAAGTATAACAATATACTGTGAGATGTGAGCTACTGTTTCTTAAATTACTTTCTCCTTTTAATCCCTAGAATTGGTATTGTATTTGTTGGCAACTCTGAAGAAACTATGGAAGTTAAAATACTTGGAAGACTAGAACGGTAATTTTTCCCCCTTGTATTGTTATTTTCTATTATATGTGACTAGGTAGTACAGAACAGGAATTGGTAAATTCTGGCCCACAAACCGTGTCTGGGCTATAGACATTTTTGTACACTCTGCAAGCTCTATTTTTAAAGAGTTTTTTTTTTTTTTTAAAGAAAATGGAATCTGCAGGGGCTGGAGCAATAGTACATGCATGCGGCCAACCCAGGTTCGATCCCCGGCATCCCATATGGTTCCCCCCCCCCACCCCCCCAGCACTTCCAGGAGCAATTCCTGAGTACAGAGCCAGGAATAACCCCTGAGCATTGCTAGGTGTGACCCAAAAAGCCAAAAAAAAGGAATCTGCAATAGAGACCATATATGGCTTGCTTGGCCTAAATTATTTACTCAGTGGTCTCTTTCCAGAAATGTTCCAGACCCCTGCTCTAGGGTGATGTTAGTATCACACTGTGTCTCTTTATAGGAATAGGAATAGTCAGGTCTGAATCTTTCATCTGTGTTTCGTCTTAGTGGTTCTTGAATTTGCTTATATTCTAATTGCTACATTTTACTGGGCTAATGAAATAAATAAATTTTATTAAATAAAAACTAAAAAAAGAAAAAAAAAAGTGGGGCTAGAGCCGGGGCCCTTGTTCCCTCTCTCCAACCCAAGAAAAATTTGTATTACCTGTGAATTTATCTTTTAAATACTAAGGAATAGCTGCCTATTACCAATGTTTGTACTATGTAATCAATCTTATTCTTGCCTATTGTGGCTTAATTACTTCTAGTCACATCTCAGCTCCAGTTGTGCTTTTTAGAACTATTTTCCCAAACCATATAAAACCCATACTTTGACTCCCTTTCGTGTGGGAGGTGGCCTCTCTCATTTTATCAACTTGTATCAACAAAAGTATTTTGTCTCTGAGAAGTGCAAAACTTTCCAGAAATGAGAATACTCTGGAAACCATACCTGACCCATCTGTAGAGAGTCTTTTTCAGCTTCCTGAAGAGGTGCTCTGTTTTCCCACCCGTACACACATGCCCTGTCTGCCACAGGTTCAAAATCATGGCCGTAATGATTGTGTTAGAGTGAGTGTTGAATTTCCCAGGGGTGTTTGATGGGAGGGGAAGGGTTTTGGGGGGAGATTGATCATCAGTTATCTTTTGTAACAAGGAAAAACAGGGAGCTAGGCAACTTGGATTCTAATCCCTGTTCTTCCACTCATAGCTTCTTTGACTGTAGGCAAATTACTTACATCTTTTGAGTTTAATAATCTTTATCTATAAAATAAGACCTACGTCCTTTGGTTCTCTTGGATATTGGATGACATGAGGTATAGAAAGCACTTGGCATTTAGAAACTGACATTGATAAATGTCAGTTCCTCAGTTTCTGTTTTGTATTATTAATGACTCCTAATCCATCATCTTTAGAAATGAAGTTGAGATTAATGTTTTGCTTGGAATTGACCATTTTATCTTTTGTTTTAATACTTTTCAAATATTCACTTAATAGTTTAGTTTTCTTCTCTTCCCCGCACTCCCCTCCCCCCCCTTAGGTATAAGCTGCTTCATGTTCTGGAATTTGATTCAGATCGAAGGAGAATGAGTGTAATTGTAGAGGCACCTTCAGGTAATCACTCTAAAATCCCATGAATTTTTAATTGTCTAATGTTAAGAGATTGATAAGAGATAGATAACTTTTTTTTTCAGGTGAGAAGTTACTATTTACTAAAGGAGCAGAATCATCAATTCTTCCTAAATGTGTAGGTGGAGAAATTGAAAAAACTAGAAGTCATGTAGATGAATTTGCTTTGGTGAGTACAAATTTGAACGGTGTAAAGAACTCAAAAAGATAGATGTACATAAAGAAAAGATCTAGGGTCTCATTTTTGTAAATTTATGAAAAACTGTCAAAATTCTGTGTTTCTGTTATTATTATATTATGATATGACATCATAATCTTTGGCTAAAGATTTACTTTAAGGCCTTGGGATCCTCACAGGACTCATGCATATGCTCTGCATGCAGAAATCCTAGGTTTGATTCCCAACACCACATGCTCCCCGGAATACCACTGGGAGTGATAACCCTTCCCCCCCCCACACACACACTGGTACTAGCAGTTGCCCAGGTGTTGTCCCTAAGCCCCACAAGTGTGGTCCGGAAACCAACAAGCAGTCCTTAACCTAAACATGTGTTCTCTCTCTCTCTCTCTCTTTCTCTCTCTCTCTCTCTCTCTCTCTCTCTCTCTCTCTTGAATTTTTGGGTCAGAACCAGTGGTGCTCAGACCCAAAAATTCAGAGCATCATACCCTCAATGCTCAGGGATTACTGCTGGCTCTGCACTAAGAATTACTCCTGGCAGTACTTGGGGGACTGTATGGGATGCTGGGGATTGAACCCAGGTTGGCTCTGCACTCAAGAATCACTTCTGGGGGCTGGAGAGATAACACAGCGGTTAGAGCATTTGCCTTGCACATGGCCGACCCGGGTTTGATTCCCAGCATCCCATATGGTCCCCTGAGCACCGCCAGGAGTAATTCCTGAGTGCAGAGCCAGGAGTAACCCCTGTGCATCGCCGGGTGTGACCCAAAAAAGCAAAAAATAAATAAATAAATAATCACTTCTGCCAGTGTTTGGAAGACCATATGGGATGCCAGGGATGAAACCCGGGCCAGCCACATGCAAGGCAAATAAATGCTTTACCTTCTGTCCTATCACTTTGGCCCCCACTGTGTGTTTTCTTTAAATCTATTATAGTCAGTGCACTTTTGACCCCTAAAATTACTATATTTCTATATTTTAAATGGAATGAACTGTGGTAATAGAACACAGAGGAACCTCAAGAAGTGGAGAAACTGAAATTTTTATATATTAAGATTATAAATTGCACAGCCACTTGACAGTTCCTCCTGGATAATAGAGTAACACTCAGCAGCCTAACTCCTGAGTACACTTGCCCAAGAGATTTGAAAATATATATGCACAAAAACATATACACAGGGCTGGAGAGAGAGTACAGTGGGTAGGGCACTTGACATGCACACTGCCAACCCAGATTCAATCCCTGGCATCCCGTACATCCCCCTGCATTACACCAGGAATGATTCCTGAGCACAGAGCCAGAGTACACCCTGAGCATTGCTCGATGTGACCCAAAAGAATGGATATGATGTTCTTAGAAGCATTCTGCCTACTAGCCAAAAACTGGAAGGAGCCAAATACCCACTATTTGATGAAATGTATTAAACAATGTTATTTCATATCCATGGAATGAAATGCTTTTTGGCCACTGAAAGGAATATGGCACTAATATATGTTACAGTAGGTCTAAACTTTAAGCAGTTGAAGCTTGAGAGGTTGGGGAGTGAGCTCAGGTGAGAACAGGTACATGCCACGTGCAAAGCCCCAAGGTCAGTTCCTGGCCTCACACACACAAACACACACACACACACACACACACACACACACACACCCCCAAAGCACTAGTGAGCCTGACCCTCACAACTGAATGTGAGCCTGGTGGCCCACTGCACCAGCAGTCCTGGCCACAGGGGCCCCTTGCACAGCCAGCCTGGACTCTGAGGGGGACCCTGGAGACCCTAAGTACCAGCAGCCCTTTGTGGGCAGAGCTCCTCTGGGAGCAGCTCTAGCCTCCCCAAGCCTTGCTGGCGTGACTGACCCTATTTTTTTTGGAAAAAAAAAAAGATTAGAGGTTATCTATAAGAAGCTAATGGCAGAAAGCCTCATATTTGATTTATATTAAATTAAATTTTTTTTCAGATAGAATTATCCATTTTACTTTTACAATCTACCCTTTCTGAGTTCTATTATTAGAATTCATTTAGTTTGGGGGTTTCTGGGGAAAATGTGTAGCAGGAAAAAGAATTTTTATATTCTTTCAGATTTAATATCTGCTTTCAGATAATCAAATATACACTCCTAAGTTTTGTGTAATTCCAATTCGTCTGTGAAGATAGAATGAAATTACTTAAAACATCATTCACTGGCTGTAGAAATTATTGTTTGTCTGATAATGGCCACTTCACAAACTTCTTGTTGATGCCTCAAACCCTCAGAAAATTGTGGTTCCCTCTACTTCAAACTAATTGGTGGGCCAGAGAGACAGTACAGAGGGTAGGGCATTTGCCTTGCACACGGCCAACCTGGGTTCAATCCCCAGCATCCATACGGTCCCCCAAGTACCACCAGGAGTAGTCCTTAGTGCAGAGCCAGCAGTAACCCCTGAGCATTAAGGGTATGACGCAAAATAGTTTTTTAATTGAGTACTGTAATTAAAGGTAAATTTGAGTTGGATAAAACAAGAGAGTAGAACCTGGAGCTGCATCCTAAAGTACTATTTGAGAATTTTCTAACTTTAAGATCCCAGAGAAGATAATCTTTATGATCCTTTCTAGACTCTAATATCCTATAAGTCATTGTTAATTATTTTGAACAATTTTTTAAGAACACCTCAGAAATGAAAAGTTATGATAATACATGTCTCATAACTCACATCACTAGTATTTGTGCTCATTAATTTCCTATCACTAGATGATAGTGATTTTAAAATTATCTGTAGACTCGCTCTTCTAATCCCCTGTTCTCCCTTGAACATGTCTCTCTCTTTGCTTTTATCCACTATGGAGAGGCCCACTTTCTCTCATAAACATGTATTCTCTTACGTCTTTCTTTTTTTCTTTTTATTTATTTATTTTTTGGCTGTTTGGGTCACACCTGGATTAATGCACAGGGGTTACTCTGAGTTCTATTATTAGAACTCATTTAGTTTTGGGGTTTCTGGGGAAAATGTGTAGCATTTAGGAATTACTAAAGGCTCATGCACTTAGGAATTACTCCTGGCGGTGCTCAGGGGACCATATGGGATGTTGGGAATCGAACCTAGGTAGGCCGCATGCAAGGCAAATGCCCTACCCACTGTGGTATCACTCCAGCTCCCCCTCTTATGTCTTTCTAAGTAAAAATTATCTTGCTTCACTTAAAATTTTTTTAACTAAATAAAAATAAAATAATCTGTAATTTATTTTTGAGGTTGGAGTCATTTCACTGAATTCTTGTTTCCCCATTAATTTTTTTTTGACCAGTTTTTGTCTTTAATTTTTCTAATTCAGAAAGGGTTAAGAACTCTGTGTGTGGCCTATCGACAGTTTACACCAAAAGAGTATCAGGAAATCGACAGGCTCATATTTGAAGCTAGGACTGCTCTGCAACAGCGTGACGAGAAATTGGCAGATGTCTTCCAGTTCATCGAGAAAGACCTGATACTACTTGGGGCAACTGCAGTAGAAGATAGGTAAGTATCAGGTAAAGAGGAAAATTGCTTTTTCTCTTGTAAGAATGTTTCTCATCCAGCATATCTAATTATAGCATAAAAACTCTATTTGTGTAGAAACTATGACTTAATAAATTTAGAATTAGAGCCAAATTTTGTGTTAGTATATAAAACTTGTGTTCTAGCCAGATACCAGAATAGATAGAAGAGATGCTATTTTAATGCTTCCTGAAAAATGGTTTCAAGGCTGTGAGTTCCTAAGCTGTTGCCTGTCCATGAAGCTCTGTATCGTTCCTTCAAATTGAATGAGGTGTGCATTTCGTTGAGTCTTTGTGCTGTATTGATACCTCCGTAGTCTTCTGACTTCCCGTTTCATTTGACAGATCTTCTATATATCTTGTGGGCTTTCCTTTGTAAGTTTTTTTTTTAATCTTACTGCTTTCAGTATTCTGTCTCTATCTTTGGATTTTAACCTGTTTTAGTGTAATGTGTCTTGGAGTTTTTCTAGTGGAATCTGTTTTCACAGGGAACCTGCAGGCTCATATTCCTCAACTCAGGGAAATTCTTAGCGACAATTTCTTTAACTCTTGTCTCTTCATCACATTTGCCTTCCTAATCTTCAAGAACTTCGATGATTCTTCTGTTGTTCCTCTTGCACTCATCCCCTAGTTCTCTGGTATGCTGTTCAGTTTTTTTCTGTTTTCCACCTTCTGCTGTTTCCTTGTGGGTTCCTCCTCATCTTGGAGCTCCTCAGTTTTTTTGCTCAACTTCTATTATTCTGTTATCTAGAACTTCCGTTGACTTTTTTTTTATATCACCGAACATGTTCCATCATTTCTGACTGTAATTATTTTTTTCATTTTGTGCTTTGATTACCTATGCTAGAATTTCCTTGAACTTGTTGAACATTCTCATCATAGTGTCACTGGAAAGTTTGTGTGATAATTTCCGGCTGACCATGTTTTCGGTGACACTGTTTTTATTCACTGAGCTTGGTGGTTTTCTGTGTGTTTTCCCCCTTTATTTTCTCGTGTCCTTGCTGTGCTTGGGCTGGGTCTTTGTAGTTAGACAAGCTGAGTTTGCTGTTTTCTCTGCCCATCTTCACCAAATGATGGGAAGCATAACTGTGAGCAGCATGTAGTTTGTTGAGTAGATCTGTCACATAGCCACATAAACACTACATGCTTCGGTGGCTGTGGCGTGGGCCACTTCTGTGGTGCAAACCGGGTATGGAGGCTGCTGGGAGCTCGCTGGAGACCCAGCTCTGCCTCCTGGTCCAGATCAGTCCCGGTGAGGCCCGCTGAAGGTGGCCTTACCCGGAGTAGCAGAGCAGCAGGTAGAAGTCTGAAATTTAAGACATTTCATAATGTGGTAGGAGTTTATGAAAAGCAAATTTTTAGGATTTATAAAAATCAGTCTTAAAGATATACTCTTAAAAGACTTTGTGTTGGTGTCAGAGGGAAAGTAAAGGGGTTAAAGCACGTGTCTTGCATGCAGCTGACTCTGGTTGAGACTCCAGCCCTACATGGTCCCCCAGACATCACCAGGTCCATCGCTAGAAGCCCTGAGCACTGATGGGAGACCCCTGAGCACCGGAGTAGCCCCAGTAATCCTTGACACCGTAAAACTCAAACAGAAATGAGTTGCCTCCCACAAGTGGCTCTCTGGCATGGCCATGACCTCAGAGGCACACGAACCTAATTCAGAACCCAGCAGCTTTAGGCAGAAATGTGAATGGACTATGCATTAAGCTACCGCACTGTGCCCCCCCCCACCCCGAGGGAAAGGGTGTCTTCTGTCTCTTCTGCCTCCCCTCCACCCCCACCCCTCACCCCACCCCCCCCGCCCTCGTACAGCAGTGAGCGGGCAACTCCAGCTTCATGGGATTGGGAGGTGGGGTGGGGTGGAACTGGCACATCCTTCTTGCCCTGTCGAGACCACAAGTTGCCCCACATGAGCGGCTCTCCGGCACGGCCATGGCCCCAGAGGCACACAAACCAATCTCGGAACTATGCGCGACTTTTGGCAGAAATCCCTCTAGACTTAATTAGTAAAATATCAGAAATCCAAAATCCTGCAGCCGCGATCATATGGTCTTCATAACCAGCAATAGAAAACAAATTATTTTACGATGCCTTTTCAGCAGGTTTGATTGTTGGGGGAAAATTCCAAACAACAGTGGTGCATCTTTTGTCAAAATAATGAATGTCAATCAAAGTAAGTAAAGTAAAGTAAAGGTCCTCCCGTTGATCATCGATTTGCTCGAGCGGGCCCAGTAACGTCTCCATTGGAGACTTTGTTGTTACTGTGTCTGGCATATCGAATACTCTCGGTAGCTTGCCGGGCTCTCCGAGAGGGGCGGAGGAATCAAAGTAGAGAGAGATTTAATTGGAAATCATCTGCCTCACAGGCATGGGGAGGGATGGGGTGGGGGGTATATTGGGATTCTTGGTGGTGGAAAATATGCACTGGTGAAGGGATGGGTATTTGATCAGTGTATGACCGAGACTTAAACCTGAAAGCTTTGTAACTGTTCTCACGGTGATTCAATAAATAAATTTTTTTAAAAAGTTACAAGTTTTATATTGTCTCTACTTGTTACTCATTAAAAAGAGAAATCTGGGCATCTATTAAAAAAAAAAAACTCAAACAGAAATGGATACTCACTGCTAGTCTGCTTAAGAATTGCCTGGAGGAGCCTCTGGTTCTCCTGAGCAGTATTTGGGAGAAGACTCACCCCCTTTTAACATTGCCTCCCTAAAAAACAGTTTTGTATAAACCAAATGGTCACATATTTAGTTATTCCCATTTCTTACCTAATAGGAGAAAGTCCATAGCATTCTTAGGTCAGGGAGTCTAGAATTTACCTTTCTTTACTGTGTGATTTTTTTTCCCCCAGTGTCAAAAAAAATCCCCTGCTACTAATTTTGTTTCTTGTATTTTCAGATTACAAGATAAAGTTCGAGAAACTATTGAAGCATTGAGAATGGCTGGTATCAAAGTCTGGGTACTCACTGGAGATAAACACGAAACAGCTGTCAGCGTGAGTTTATCATGTGGACATTTTCACAGAACCATGAACATCCTTGAACTTACTAACCAGAAATCAGACAGCGAATGTGCTGAACAATTGAGGCAGCTTGCCAGAAGGTAAGACTATAGTTATCCAGAGTGTAAGGTTCAGGAGGCAGCTGACTGTGGGCCAGGAGCTAACTAGATAACTTGCTGTCTACTTTCTATAGCTGTGGCACACAATTATTGTTATATCTTATAGTTATTTTTATTATAAGAAATACTTGTTTTGGGGGGCCACAACTGACGATACTCAGAGATTACTTCTGGCTTTCTACTCCTAGTGGTCTTAGGGGACCCTATGGGACGATGGGCATCAACCTTGGGTCAGCCGTAGGCAAAGCAACTACCCTACCCACTGCACTATCATGCAGGCCGTAATTGTTACATTTTTTTCTTTAATAAAAAAGGAGTGCAGAGAATGATAATTCATGATAATGAACTTGAAGCGAAATTTAACTTTGGGTATCTGCAGGCACCTTGGTCTACTTGCACGTCCTTGTTGAAGGCCTGTAGGCCTGTGTTATACTGTGGAGTGGAATAGCATAGCATAGGGAGACTGCAGGGGTGTCGCCCAGCAAGTTACAGTGACACCATCTGAACTCAGTGGTGTTTGAAGGTCTCAGGTTACCATTTGATACTTTGCCAAGTTCTTTTTTTTTTTTTTAAGTAAAGCAGTTTTTATTTGGAAGTCTTGAGAAAGGAGAGAGAGGGGGGAGAGAGAGAGAGAGAGAGAGAGAGAGAGAGAGAGAGAGAGAGAGAGAGAGAGAGAGAGAGAAGAGAGAGAGTGTAAAGCACTCAAGAGAGAACAAAAGCTTCTCCTGAGTGGAGAGAGCTCCAGTACAGATTGCAGTATGAAAGTATGAAAGTCCAAATCTCCAGAGAGGAGATGCAGGCGATGTGTCCCAGCTCCATGAACCCGGCAGCATGTGCCCCGGATTCTCAGGATCAGTGTTTATCCATCAAGTCCAAAGAAGAGAAATGGACTCTTAATATTACTCTGTTAAACACAGAAGCCCTGGAAGCCCTGGCAGCCACGTCTACTTCCTGGTCCAATGACTCGACATGGCATTGGGTGCAGGAAGTAGATGTGACTGCCAGGGCTTCCAGAAGTACTAGGGATGAGGGGAGGCTGCCCACCCGACTCAAAAAACACCAGAGTTTTCAGCCTGGGCACCGGGGTACCTGAACTTATTCAGTTTGGCATCTTTGCAGAGAATATTAGTGAAGTGGTGGAATTGAGCCCTGGGTGGGCTTCAGGGGTGGGGTGTGGCTGCAGCTGCAGGGGCTTTGGCAGGGTGGTGCCCAGCCCACCTGCCTGCCTCACAAAGGTGCCCCAGGGACCAGCGTTCCCATGAACTTGAGCTGCTTGGCTGGCATCTCCTTGGAAATTGAGCCACGAATTAGCAGAACTGGGGTGGCAGGGGAGTCAACAGGGAGACTCCCAGGAGGGTGAGACCACAGGGCTGCCTTGGACAACAGGAAGGAGCTTGCACCAGAATATGGAAACAGGCCCTGCTGCTTACAGTGAGAAGGTCTCACACCAGAAGGGGGTGAAGAAAAGCAACTGGGCAAATAGTAGGCTCAGTAATGTAGTTAATGTGCATCCTAATGGCAAAGTTGTTTTTTTTCCCCCTTAACGTAAGGCATGCAGGTGACAATGTTTTAGTCAGAATCTATTGTTTGTGAGTATAAACAGTCTGACTTCAAGGTGTCTCAGGGAAGATATAATTATTGTCGTTTTTAAGAATTACAGAGGATCATGTGATTCAGCATGGGCTGGTGGTGGACGGCACCAGCCTGTCTCTTGCACTCAGGGAGCATGAAAAACTCTTTATGGAAGTTTGCCGAAATTGTTCAGCTGTGTTATGCTGTCGTATGGCACCACTGCAAAAAGCAAAGGTATGTTTGGTGGTGAAAAATTTTCATAAGGATATTCCAATCAGAAAGCATTTTCTAAGGTTAATATCCGAGTCGCGTTTGGTGGTGTGCAGTAGGTGAATTTTATTGAGTCATTTTTTTTTATATTACATATTTTAAGAATGTGATTTTACTAAAACAAAGATGGGACTTCACTGAAGCAAAGATGTGAACTATAATGCTTCACAAGTAAGTTGCTTCCATAGTGAGGGAACCTTGAGAAGACTGAACTTCTCTGCAGTAGTTTCATTGATCTCCGTTTCCTTATATCCTCATTGAATGTTCATTTTCCTTATTAAAAGTAACCAGTAAGGGATGAATAGGACTTAGTAAAATTGGAAATGCCAGTTGACTTGTAATTTGCAGGAAATATTTAATGAAGCTATGATAAAGTAAAAACCTATAGAAATTGAAGTCTTAGATGATATCCTTCATATTCTATGAAGTACGCATCTTAGTGCCTTTTCACATAGAGGTCTAATAAATTAGATAATTTTTTCTTTTTACTTCAGAGAGTTTTTGAAAAGCTTATTTTATTATAATTCACATACCTCTGTCTGTGGAATCCAAATACAACAAAAACTTCTATTTCATAAAAGCAACTGAGGTATTCCAATTAAATTTTTACTTACATCATTGAATATAACCTTGATTGAATTTTTAAATTATATTACAAGAGCTAGTATTCATTCCTGTGTCAGAAGAGTAATTTCTTTAAAAAATACATTTGTCTGATAGAGTTCAATTAGTACAATTTTATACAGTTAATAAGCTTTTTTTACAAGTTTAAGCTGTGTTAATAGGTTCTGCAGAGAGAACATTCTTTTGCTATGTCCTCTTTGGATGCTGCCATTATATATTGAGGTCCTTCTGGCTATGTCATTTCCGAAAGGCATTCCTAACTTATTTTTATTGGTGGTGCCAGGGATCAAATCCAAGGCCTCAAACATGCAAGGAAAGTGCCCTTCCCTGTATTACTGCAATCATAATGGAGACACCCCTTAAAAGATGAATCCCAAGTACATACTATAAAATCAGTTATTTATTTATTTATTTATTTTTTAATAGTGAGACATCATGAGGTGCAGTTGCAGACTTACACATTTTTGTGCTTGGGTTTCAATTATACAATGATCAAACACCCATCCCTCCACCAGTGCGCATTTCCCACCACCACGGATCCCAGCATCCCCTCCCACCCCCCCCCCAGCCCCCATCCCACCCTGCCTCTGTGGCAGGGCATTTCCCTCTCTCTCCTTTTGAGTGCCGTGGTCTGCAAAAGAGGCATTGAGTGGCAATCATGCTTGGTCGACAGTCTACCCTCAGCATGCTCTCCCATCGTGGGTGGACCCTCCCTAAAATCAGGTTTTTTAATGACTGGTCTTAGAAAAGTTGTTTTAGATAAAGTACTTTATATAAATAAAAGAAAATTGAAATTTTGTCATGAATAACTAGTTGTCTACCTTTCAGGTAATAAGACTGATAAAAATTTCTCCTGAGAAACCTATAACATTGGCTGTTGGTGATGGTGCTAATGATGTAAGCATGATACAAGAAGCACACGTTGGCATAGGTAATTGATTTTTTTTCTCTTAAAATTTTAAGTTGGTATTATTAATCATTGGATGATCTTTTTTAATCTTGCTTTTATAAGGTACAATATTAAATATGAATAAAATGAAATGACATTTCAAAATTCCGTTTATCCCCACAGGAAGTGTATTATTATTAAACCCATTATTCAGGTTACTCTAATCACAAGTTTTCAAGGAAATAAATATCACATTCGTTAATTTTATCTTTGCCAATTCTCCTTCAGAACTCAAATACCAAGCAGTGGTGTGGTGGTCAACATAGCTGCCCCACAAGATGAGAATAATTTTCTTGTTGTTTTGTTTGGGGTCCACACCTGGCAGTGCTCAGGGCTTACTCCTGGCTCTGCACTCAGGAATCACTCCTGGTGATGCTCAGGGAACCATTTAGGGAGCCAGGACTGAACCCAGGTCAACTGTATGCGAGGCAAATGCTGAACTACCCCCTCAACTATACTGGCACGTACAGTAACTCTCTTTTCACATGGCGTTTTGTACCTTTTAAAGTATTTGTACTTATTATTCTATCATTTTTTTTAAACTAAATTTGTGATTTCTATAAGAATGTCCTTGTGGTGGTGCTTTCCTCTCTTAGAATAGATATTATATACTTTGTCACTCAAAAGATTCTCGTAATTTTTCTTTTGTTCACGGGCTCTTGGGCAGAGTCCAGGAGGCCTTGTAGCCACTCGTGGTAATACTCATGACAGTGCTCTCCAGAACCCAGAGCTTGAGTGGCCACGATTGCCACCCGGAGACATGGGCAGAGGAGGCATGCCCGTGGCGGGCATCAAACCCGGCGCCTCTGCAGATCAGTCGTCACTCAGCCCAGGAGCCATTGCCCTCCTCCTCTGCAGCTCCCGCCCAACTGGTAGAGGCTGTTGTTTGTGTTTTGAGCTTCCCACAGATTGTTGTTCAGAAGAGGCTCACTGCATGTGTGGGGTCACTCCCAGAGGTTCTCCGGGGAGCCATGTGGTGACGGGGACTGAACCTGAGGCTCTAACATGCACAGCGTCCACTCCAGCCCTTTGATTGTTGACCTGTTGAACACGTTCTTGTCTCCCTCAGTTTCATTAGACAAATGCAGAAGCAAGGGAGAAAACTACAGGTTTGGGCTGAAGGATGAAACGTCAGTGAACAGAGAGTTGGGGAAGTTTTCTGGAATGGCTTTGATCATGCCTGTGGTAATAGCTTTGGGAGCCCATGTTCCCGCTGTAGCCCTCAAACCAACTCCTTTCTCTTTGAGTGAATTAACTATTTTGAGAACTGAATTTTTAAAATATATGTTACTGCATTATATCAGTCTACATAAGCCTGGCAAGCTACCCATGATGTATTCAATATGCCAAACACAGTAACAATAAGTCTCACAATGGGGCGTTATTGGGCCCGCTTGAGCAAATCGATGAACAACAGGAGGACAGTGACAGTGATAGTGATAACAGTGTTAATAACCTTCTGTTCCATGATTAAAAATAAAAAAAACTATAGTATTTAAAACTTTTATTCTTAGATGGAAATATACTGACTAGTATAGAGAATAAGTTCATATGTCTGGAAATTCAGTATAGATTAAAAAAAGACAGAGGACCAAATTATTTGATTGAAAGTAATTGATATAGCTATTTGGAAAAAAATTCCAAGAATTTGGCTCCCATTCTATTGCTTATAAAGCAAAACAAGATCTGGATGGATTCTGAAAAATATTGAAAGACAGTTTAAATAAATCCTCTTCTAATTTGAGATATTTTAAGTATCTTTTAACTACAACAAAAAGAAACTATGCAAAAGGAAACATTGTTACTTGTGGCAGAAGCACATTTTAACACATTTTAATGACAAAGTAGTTAAAATTTTGCAAGCATTTCTAATTTATGAAGTTTTTACAACTTAAGGAGAATAACAAAGCTGGAGGAAGAAATTATACTGTCCAAGAAGAGAAATCTAGAAATAGTAACTGCATCAAAATTTTAGTCACACTACTAACTAAAAGAATTCCAATAAAATAGCCTATAAATTGATTTTATCAATCCTGATTGGCTAAGAATAGACTAACAAATATTGGTGGAAATGTAAGTTGGTATACTCTACATTATCACAAACTTCTAAATGTTTGTGTTTATGTGTTGGCCTTACCATTATGTATTCAGGAATTTCTCTTAAGGAAATAAACAAATTTGGCGCTGGAGTGATAGCACAACGGGTAGGGCAGTTGCCTTCCACGCAGCCGACCCGGATTCGATTCCCAGCATCCCATATGGTCCCCTGAGCACCTCCAGGAGTAATTCCTGAGTGCATGAGCCAGGGTGTGACCCCAAAAAAGCAAAAAGAAAAAAGAAAATAAGTTTTTCGATAGATATGTATTAAAAACCATGCTTATAACATATTGTCAAACAGATTACAGAAAGTATTATTATTGTACATTGTTGATGCACTAAATGCACATACACAAAATACACAGAAGAAAAAAATTCTAAAAATATATACACCAAAAATAGGAGTCATAATTGGGTAGTAGGCAACTGTCTTTGCCTGTAATTTTTTTTTATTATTTTAGTCTTTTTTAGGCAAAATTTAGTTAGAAAACTCATTCATATTTGTTAGATAAAATTTTGTTCTGATGTTACATGACAGTGTATACTTTTTAAAAGGGAAGCTACAGCACCAGAGCACTAGTACAGTGGGTAGAGCGTTTGCCTTGCCTGTGGCTGACTCTGGTTCGATCCCCACCATCCCATATGGTCCCCCACCCCTCCAGGAGTGATCTCTAAGCACAGAGCCAGTAGTTAGACCTGAGCACTCTCAGGAGTGGCCCAAAACCAAACACAAGAAAATGAAAAGCTATGTTAGGCCGGAGAGCTAATACTCGAGATAAAGCCCTTCCTTGCCTTACACACAGCTGACCCAGGTTTAGTCCCCAGCACTACATATGGTCCCCCAAAGCCCACCGGGGGAGTGATTCCTGAGCACAGAGCCAGAGTAAGCCCTGAGCACTGCCAGGTTTGGCCCAAAGAAAACAAAACCAAAAGCTGCTTTGTGGTTGGCCAGGTCAGGATGTTATTGTCCAGACTGTGTAGGGAAGGCTGCCAACTACTCCCTCTATTAAAGCTTTTAATTTGGAAACAAAAGCAAAGTTATGCACTGACAGCAAAATTTCAGCTCTGATGGCTCCACATGAAAAAATTTCCAGTTTCCCTGCCTGTCACTTATAAAATATTCAACAATTCCCTCTTTTTTTTTTTGGTTGCTTCTGAAGAAAGCTATGAAGTAAGTTTGGAATGTAAGATATTTTCTAGTGTTTTGGGAAGAACAGTGATGGTTTTGGGAATCAAAGACCAAAAGATGGAGCATCCACAGTTAATGAGAAGGCAGGAGGGGAGAGCACACCTGGGCAACGTTTCACACTGTGTGGTACCTTGAAAACAGCCTTGAAAGGAAGACCGGATATAGTCACTGTTGGGGGTGGGGGATGGGGAGTGGGAATGTGGAATATAGTATTTTAAAGGAACCTTTTTCACTGATGGTGGGAATGTAAATTGGTTCAGCCTTAATGGCAAACCATATGAAGATGTCTTAAAACAAAAACAGTAGCACTGTAGCACTGTTCATTGTTCATTGATTTGCTCGAGCGGGCACCAGTAACGTCTCCATTGTGAGACTTTTTGTTACTGTTTTTGGCATCTCGAATACGCCACGGGGATAGAACTTTTAAAAAAAAAACTATGTTAAATTGGCTTAGAGCTTTCTTTCTGTTAGAAATCTGTTAAGCAAAGCAAGGTGAGTCAGAAGGAGTAAAACAAATACCATTTCTGGATGATCTCCTATGTGGAAATGAAGAAAACAAGGCAATAGAGAGTGGTCAGCGAAAATAATACCAGTGATTGTGCCAACCGAAGTGAGTGTGCCAAGGGTGTGTGGTAGTGGGGACTGATGAGAAGGCCCTAGGGACAGGGCAGGTGATGGGATATTGATACACCGATGTGAGTATGATGTGGTAACGGTATGCCTAAAACATTACTATTAATGCTACATGATGCCTCAATTGTTTAAAAAGCTCTTAATTAGTGCTCTGTACTTGTTACTGTAAAATGTGATTTTTTTTAGATCTTTTCAGTATTTTATATCTTATTCTAATTCTTTAAAAATTCATGGTATATCCTGGTATATAATATAATTGTATGTATTTAAGGAAACAGACCAACCTTTTGAGAGTCTGCTATTGTTACATATTAAAATGTATAATGATCCTAAGTGCAGGTTCCACTGCTATAGAAATTTTAGGTATTTAAAAACATCATGAAAATTACTCTGATTAAATTACTAGTGTATTCTCCTTTTTGTCCCTTATTACAGGAATCATGGGTAAAGAAGGAAGACAAGCTGCAAGAAACAGTGACTATGCAATAGCTAGATTTAAATTTCTGTCGAAATTGCTTTTTGTTCATGGTCATTTTTATTATATTAGAATAGCCACCCTTGTACAGTATTTTTTTTATAAGGTGAGTTTCATAGAGAGACTTTAGTTTTTCCCTTTTCAAAAATGTTTTTTATTTTTGCTTCAAAGTAGACATCTAAATTTTAAAGTAGCTGTTTATTGTAATAGCAATGCATTATAACAATTTTCAGGTGTGGGACATTAGAAATCAGCATATGTATATGTGGAGATATTTTCCAAATCAGTCATTGACATATTTGTGGTTTTAATTTTAAGTAATGCTGTCACCATACAAGTTGTTTCTCTGTAATAATTGCTATAGCATATACTTGGATGATTTTAACATAAATCTAATATGTGCTGACAAAACAATTACAGTGGTTGCCTGAGGCCAGGGGCACTTTATAGAATCAATTACAAAGGAAAACAATTTGACGGTGGTGGTGGCTAAATAGGTATATATTTATAAAAACTTTTCAGAATTTAAATTTGCAGTTGATATGCATTATTCTATGCAAAACACTCAGTTTGACTTTTTAATACTGTCTCAAACCAGCAATGAGTTTTCATTGAACTACTCGAATGTAGTTTCAAGTAGGAGGTCTTAATCATTTTTTGTTTCATAAATAACCATTTAGTGGTCTGGATAGTGGATATAAACTGCTAGTATAGGGTTTTTAGATGTATGAAATCAAATGCATAGAATTACAACGAACTAATTGCATTGAGTACGATACTGACGTTTGGCCCTTTTGAAGAAAGAGGAGGGTCTGCAAAACCCATCATAAGAGCCCCTGAGTACCAAGACGTTTAATACATCTGGGCATTCTATAGTGTATGTCTGCCTGCAGTAAAGCCATAGCATTACGGTGATGAAAAAACACAACTTCTCCTTAGCTTACACTTAATGTGTTTAATATATCCAGAATATATGAAGATAGAAAGATGTTTTGATAGTCCACTTACCGGTACTTTAACTAATTTTGCATTTTAAAGCCATTATAGTCCTAAAGTTTAAGTAAATCTTTGTTATTGTACTATATATTGAAGTTATTAAATAATAGCAATAAAGTTTTAAATTCAATCACGGTATTGCTTGGAAGTAATGAAAGTCAGCGATATTTTCATTCTGATCTTTGCAATGTTATTAGGATACTTTTATTTTAAAAAAGATTTTTTTTGTTTGGTTTTGCTTTGGGCCCCACAGCCAGCAGTGTTCAGGGCTTACTACTGACTCTGCACTCTGGGCTCACTCCTGGCAGGCTCAGGGCACCATATCTGGTGACGGGTTGAACCCAGGTTGGCCTCCTGCAAAGCAAATGACCTACCTCCTGTACTGTCACTCTGGCTGAAGAATACTCTTACATTTTTTTGTTTTGTCTTGGGGCTACACCCAGCTGTGCTCAGGGGACCAAAGGGGGTGCGAGAGTTCGAAGCCAGATATCCATGTGCAAGACAACTGCCTTATTCCCTATACTATCTCTATAGCCTCACTAAAAAATGAAATAGGAATCCTATTTTCCCAATTTATATATATATATAAGTTTTCATGGGCAGATCTACTATTTACCCATAATGAGTATTTCTAGAACCATGACTATCCATTTAGAGGTTGTTTTTCTTATGGACGAAATTTAATTATTTCCACTTGATTTTATTTTTCAGAATGTGTGCTTTATCACACCCCAATTTTTATATCAGTTCTACTGTTTGTTTTCTCAACAAGTAAGTAAACAGAATGTATTGCTTTAAAATTAAGTGTATGTGTTCAGTTTTTAACAGACTTGCTAGAACTTTTTTCGTTTTTCCTAGTCCTGCAGATAACTGGATAAAGCTTTCTGGATTAGTGTGTTTAATTAGCCTGGCAGTTATAATCTTCTGATTTGAGTTTATTATCAAAATACATTTACTTCTTGATGCTATTTTTAAAAACAGCAAATCTGCGGCAATTGAGAGAACTTTGATTTAGCAACTGTAATATTTCTATACAGTTCATACCCAGCTATTCCAGACAACTATTGGAAGATGACTTAGTTGTTTCTTTTCTAACTCAGAATTTTGTAAGATTTGGAAGAAGGAACTTAGTGATAGAATCCAGGGATGACTTAGAGATCTCAAGAGCTAACTCTAAATAATAGATAGACGCCATCTGGAGTGCTATTTTTAAAGGGGTTATGAATCTATAGGCCCAGAGAGAAAACCCTGTAATTAGTCTGCAACAGCTGTAATTAGCTCATAGTGGACATTTGGTTGCATATTGTGATATTTGCTATGCCTGAGGTATTGGTATCTTAAATAAAAGGAAATTGAAGTTCACAAAAATAAAGCAACTTTTCCAAGATCACATAGCTCAGTTAATCACTAAATCAGACTTGGATCTCCTGCCTCTGACTAACTGAGCAGCCTGCCCACATACCATACTTTACAAATTTAATTGATCAGGAAATCTGTTCTCATGTGATAGAAATAACGAAAGCTTAATTATCTCAGGTTTTCTATGAGTTGTTTTTTTTCTTGTCACCCTTTTTTTCCCCCCTTCTGTGTAGAGCCTAAAGCTCTAGATTCCAAGTATCTACTTGGGCATCAATTACCGTTGACAGTGTTTGCTTATTTGAATGAAATAAAACTGCAAGTTAACAAATGCCTGACTCATTTTGATTAGATGTTCATGAATTTTGCCGTATTTTTTTTCCTTAAGTATTAATAGGTGACAGATAGGCAAAGGAGTAAATAATACCCACAGTAGCATATAAGATTGTTTAGAAGAGGCCAATATTGAACAGGATTTTATTTGTTTTATTTATTTATTTATGTATTTATTGCTTTTTGGGTCACACCTGGCGATACAAAAGGGTTACTGCTGGCTCTGCACTCAGGAATCACTCCTGGCGGTGCACTTGAGCAGTATTTAAAGTTTCTTGGACTATGCTTTAAAGGAAGTATCAGACTGAGATGGGAAGACATGAGCCATGTGAGCAAACCTGTATGAGTGGCTCACCAAAGAAATAGTAAGAAACCTGTGTGAAGAGGAATTGTATAGGAATACGTCGCAGCGACATAGGGCAGGGGGCAGGAGGCTGGGGCCAACCGAAGGAATAGAGGCGAGGTGTCAGTCTAGACCCAGCACAACCGTACGCATGGGACCCAAACAGTAGTCGACTTAAAAATGTGTCTGTCAAGGAGACAGGTTGCAGGCTGGGAGGGAACCTTGAGGGCATTGATGGAGGGATAGAGTTGGGAACATTTTTTTGCCTGAAACTCTGTTGTTAACAATTTTGTATATCATGATTTCTGAAAAGAAATTTTTAAAAAAAAACATACATTCCAGCGACAAACACAGACAAATCATGAAGGGTAGATCCAATTTACTCTATTACCAGAACACAGGCATAAACAAACTTTCCAGTTCCGACATAGAAGACAAATTTAGGAATGTGTATTTCTATCTATGTTAAGAAATGTTATTAAAAAGATTAATGTGTAAATTGAAAAACTATAAATTTCTATTTGGATATGCTTTTTTAGTTATGTATAAATTACGAGTCACGACAAATCACGACCATCTTGTTATTCGTCGATTGCCTTGAGCAGGCCCCAGTAACGTCCCCTTCATCCTAGCCCTGAGATTTTTTTGAAAGTGCTATATTCAAGGCTCTTTAGGAGAATGAGACCCATCATTGTTACTGGTATTTGGCATATTGGGTACGCCACGGGGAGTTTGCCAGACTCTGCCGTGTGGGCAGGTTACATTCGGTAGCCTTCCAGTTTGTCCAAAGTAGGAATGAGATAATAAGATGTCGCATGACCGTGAATGCGGCTGCGCTGAGCATGTATAAATAGTAACATATAATTTAGAGCTTTAAAAATTCATACTGATTTCTCTTTCTAGACACTGTATGACAGCGTGTACCTGACTTTATACAATATATGTTTCACTTCCCTGCCTATTCTGATATATAGTCTACTGGAACAGCATATAGACCCTCATGTTCTACAGAGCAAGCCCAGCCTCTATAGGTAAGTATTGTCCAGTGTTAAGTGTCTATAAAGTTTCTGACAGCAAGTAATACTGGTTATTAATTTTTTAAAGTTCCTTAAAAATGACATAACAATAGCAAGTGATATGTTGGTGACTAATGTTTTACTATAGAAATTATGTCAGTAATCATGGTTTAGAATTGCTTAACATAAAAGAAAATTTTAATGTTTCAAATTTTAGAAATGATCACCGTTTAAAAATATTTATTTATTTAGAAATGATCACTTTACTCCTAAGATGTACTGGGTGATTGTGCAGTTTGCACTTACTGTTGTAGAACCAGTCATGTTTCATTTTATATGCATGAAATAAGTTATTTAGTAATAAATAAGTTCCCATGATAGCGTTCCCAACTTTAGTAATCAATGCAGAACCGGGGTTGAGGACATTAACTTCTGTCCCAGGTCCCCTGGGTTATTCCTGCTTCAGCAGAACCAAGTAATCACAAAGATAGGAGCTGTTCCTGAGGAGTAGCTGAGGACTCCCACTCAGCATGTTCTCTTCTCTGAACATGTTCATTAACTCAGCAACAGCAATAATCGGGACAGGAGAATAGAAAAGCAGGCAGGGAACTCTCCTTGCATGTGACTGACTTAGGTTCAATCCCCAGCACCTGGTCCCCTGAGCACCACCAGGATCTGTCATCCCAGAGCACTGAGCCAGGAGTAAGCTCTGGGCATAGCCGGATGTCGCCCCCCAAAGAAAGACATGGCAATAATTCACCTAGAATTTCCAAGGGTATCTAGGAATGGTCTTTCACAGACTGTTTTCTCTTAGTACCGATTCATGAACATGAATTGAGTTAACCTAACTCTCAAATGACTGCACTAAAAAGAATGATGGCAGAGCGACTGAAAATTTATACAGAGTAAAAATAAACCAACTTGAAACACTGGAACATTATGACAATTACTTCATCAAATTAGATCATTTGTTTGAACATATTTTTAAATTATAAGCTGTTGGAAAGATAAGTGATATTATGAGCAGTGATTTATAAATAACAGTTCGTTCTTTCTAATAGTTTCAAATTTTAAATGAAAAATCCATTTTGGTTTCTCAAAATATTTGTTGAAATAATACTGGTTTTTGACATTATGTAAGTTTTAGATGTGTAGCGTAATTCAACACATACCAATTTGAGCGATAATTTTTTAAATGATCAAGTTGTAATTTTTAGTAGATGAGTAATAAATCGATCCTAACTTTTTCCTTTTTCTCTTTTTTTTTAATTTACAGAGATATTAGTAAAAACCATCAACTAAGCATTAAAACTTTTCTTTATTGGACCATCCTGGGATTCAGTCATGCCTTTATTTTCTTTTTTGGATCCTATTTTTTATTAGGAAAAGATATATCTCTGCTCGGAAATGGCCAGGTAAAATATGGAGTTTTTATAAAGAGTACTTAATAATTTGATATCTTTTTTGATACTTATCCATTAAAAATTAAAATTCTATTTTCAATATAAAATTGTTCATATTTGGTTAAAATTAACACTACTATTAAAAGGTCTTAATATTTTTTACTTAATAAAATGTCATACAAGCGAAAATTTTAAAAGGAATATAATCTGGTATTAATATGAAACTAAAGTTGTAAGGTAATCTTAGTATTCGGAAATCAATTTACACAAATGAGTATACATGTTCCTGCATGCTGTTCACATCAGGGTTGTGTTTTATGAATAGTGCTTATTGTTGTGCTGAGTCTTCACATGTTCTATCTTCATTAATCCATAGTCTTGTTGGTGAGTTATAACCCATATCTTTCAGATGAGAAATGATGTCCTAGATTAAATGATGTGTAGATTAAATGAGGACTTAGTGTTTTGCTTTTAAGTACAGAATTATCAGGAAGTGCTACCATTCTCTTCTGTATTTAATAGCTATTCTTGGTATATCACAAATCCCTGTTTAGAATTGGCACTTCTATGAGATGTGAAATTGGGAGAACTGGGTCTGTCAGGTGCCACGTCTAGACAGGGGTGGTAAATGATGGCACTGCTCCCGTGGTGGCTAGAAATTCCCCTTTACTCTCCCTTTTCCACTGGTAATTCTTTTATGTGTGACTGTAGGGGGGAGACACAGTTGATGGTTTCATGGCTTACTCTTGCCTCTGTGCTCAGGGATCGCTCCTCGCAGTGCCATGTGTGGTACCAGGGATGGAGCTGTGCTGGCAACTCCTCCTGCCTTCCCCCTCCTCCTCTCCCATCCCATCCCTGTTCTTCCCCTTTTTATTTTCCCCTCCTCTTCCTCCTCACATTTCTGTAAGTAAATTTTGTTTTGCCTTACGTTGGTTTTGGGGCCACACCCAGCGATGCTCGGAGATACCTCCTGGGCCATGCTCAGGAGACCATATGGGATGCCGGGGATTGAACCCAGGCCGGCCCTGTGCACGGCAAGTGCCTACCCACTGTACTTTCTCTTCCGCCCTCTAAGTACATATCTTTGAATAAAACTATTTTACTACCAAAGAAAGAAAGATGATAATTGGGAGAATAAAACACTGTATGTCCTCAACCAACATTTACTGAGCAGTAACCATTCCTCTGCAACCGAGTGGGCTCTGGAGATATGAAAGCGGCTAATTCACTTGAATCTGAAACTTGGAATCTTGTGACCAATACAGAAACAAGTATCACTGTATAGTAATAAAATAAGACAGTGCACTACTTCCCCAATAATAACTTCCTTTTATTAGGGGTGTGTGTGTGTGTATGTGTGCGTGTGTGTGTGTGTGTGTGTGTGTGTGTGCGTGTGTGCGTGCCAGGAAAATGTATTAGCTTTTTATGACCCTGTGTGAGGAAAATATCTGTTTTTTTTTTGTTTTGTTTTGTTTGTGTTTTTATATATATTAGAAAATTGATCTCAGAAAACTAACAAACTTCCTTCAGGTAACATGGCATAGGCTCCAAACTCATGTCAGTATGACTGCAGAGCCTGCGAGAACGTATAGCTAGGTCCCATCTGCATGTTACTGCCATGCATTCAAAGCTCATCAAGCGGGTAGACATGAGTGGGTTATACCTGCCGTTTCCACCCGGAATGCGGGGCTGAAACTGGACCAAGTGAAGGGGGAAAAGAGATCAGAAGATGACATTTTAAAAAAGGAACTAAAATAATGATTTTGTCGCTAGATAGTCACACATTTCTGGTTTGATTTTTGACGTCAATGGGCGTGGGGCCACGGCTGGTGGTGCTCAGGGACTACGACTAGTTCTGTGCTGAGTGGTCACTTCCTCCTGTCCTGGGGGACTGCACAGTGCTGGGAGGTGAAGGGGGTCTGCTGCATACAAGGCAGGTGCCCCCACCCGCCGAGCCATCTCTCCTGCCCTTTTTTCTGACTTTCGCAGCAATATTATGATTACAAATACCATGATATATAATGATATATTATGATAAATATTAAGATAATATGATACACATCATGAGACACTTCCTAGCCATTTTCCATAATTACCCCACCATGTTTGATGGGGTTCAGACAGTAGGCAACAAATCATAGAGAGAAAATATATATATATGCCTCTCAGAGAGCCTGTCAAGCTACCAGAATTATCCTGCCGCACGGACAGACCCTGGCAAGCTCCCCATGGTGTATTCAATATGCCAAAAATAGTAATTATAGTAGGTCTCATTCCCCTGACCCTGAAAGAGCCTCCAATTGTTGGGAAAGATGAGTAAGGAGAGGCTGCTAAAATCTCAGGGCTGGGATGAATGAGACATTACTGGCACCCACTCGAGTAAATCGATGAACACCGGGATGACAATGAGACAGTGGTACAGTAATGATATTATGATTAATATATGATAAAAGGCCCATTATGATGAAAAAAATTTTGAGGTACACGGAAAAAATAAATTACCAGTTATCCTTCTGTTAGATATAATTAATATGATTTTAACCTATTTCCTTCTTTTTGTTATTGGGGTGGGGATACCTGGCAATGCTCAGAGGTTACTCCTGGCTCTGTGCTCAGGAATCACTCCAGGAAGTATTCCAGGGACCATGTAGGATGGTTGGGATTGAACTGAAATCAAGGCGAGCACCCTACCCACTTTACTATCTCTCCAGCCCTGGTTTTTTGGGGATTTTTTGGGGGGGGAGCAATACCTGAGTATGCTCAGCGACTACACTTGGCTCTTTGTTGGAGTCACTCCTGGCAGTGGTCAGGGAAGCCAATGTGGTGCCAGCGAACAAACCTTGGTCTCCCCAGGATCTGGAGAGCATACTAAGGGTAGGGAACTTGCCTTGTACCCAGCTAACCTGGGTTTGATCCCTGGCATCCCATATGGTTCCACAACCTGCTGGGAGTGATCCCTGAGCTTTGTTTGAGCCAGGAGTAAGCCCTGAGCACCACTGGACATGGCCCCGAAACAAACAAGCAAAAAAAAAAAACCACTCAGCCTCCTGCATACAAAGCATGGGCTCAGCCGATTCCCCTATCTCTTATTTTTTTGCTGTTTTCAAGTCTTATCGTGTATGTTATTTTATTTCTCAGCTGTATCCTTATTATGGGCTGGAGCGATAGCACAGCAAGTAGGGCTTTTGCCTTGCACGCAGCCGACCAGGTCGACCCGAGTTCGACTTCTCCACCCTTCTCAGAGAGCCCAGCAAGCTACCGAGAGTATCTCACACGCAGGGCAAAGCCTGGCAAGCTTCCCGTGGTATATTCGATATGCCAAACACAGTAACAAGTCTCACAATGTTACTGGGCCCACTCGAGCAAATCAATGAACAAGGGGAGGACAGTGACAGTGTGGTTCTTATCATAATTATCCCCACCATAAGACTTTTTCCATGTTACTGAAAATGCTTCAAAAATGTTTCTAACGGCTTATAATTTTCTACAGTGTTTCCTAATTCATTTTGGTATTTTCTTATTCTGAGAAGTCAAATCTGTTTCTAGTTTATAGTGACTTTAAATCTCTACCATGATTTATATAAAAGCAAAATCTTAGTGAAGGGTAAATTGTGGCTGCCTTTTAGTGCAAAAGATTGTCTCTGTCACCTATTACTCGTTTCTCTAACTCAAATTGCAAATAACAAACTTTGGGCCAACCAGTTCTACCTTTCAAATGTATTTCCCTAGAAATAACTTACCATGCTTGGCCACCAGTGTTCATAGAAAGAAAATAAAGATTTGAATCAGACAGACTGCATTCCCATTCTTGTACTTGAAACTATTATTTGAATTATTTGGGATGGGTTAGTTAAACAAGGTCAATTTCCTTGGGGCTAGTGCAGTAGTACAGTCTGTAAGGTGTTTGCCTTGCACATTCTGGTCTGGGTTCAATAACTGGCACCACATATGGTCCCCTGAGCACCACTAAGAGTGATCTCTGAGCACAGAACCAGGAGTTAATCCTGAGCAGTCAGTGTGACCCAAAAATCAAACCAAAAAAATTTTTTTTTCTTCTTATACTTTCAAAATGAGAAGCATAGACTATATTATCAGCTTGCTATGAGAATAAATTATAAAATGTTTTTATTTTATTTTAGGACCACACCTGGCTGTGCTTAGAGCTTACTTTGGGTTCTGTGCTCAGGGATCACTCCTGGCAGTGCTCAGGGGATCACATGGGGTACGGAGCATAAGCACCGTGCCCACTATACTGTCTCTCCTTCCCCTAAATGCCATACCTTGTGTAGAACATGGCTGTATCAGGGGCTAGTATATAGAAGTCCTCTGTCTTAACAGTGTTTGTTGTTTTCATTTTCAAGGTAATTGAAGATCCTATTCTACTCAGTCCGTGTGATCTTACTTCCCCTGGGAACTTTTTCCTATTCTCCTTGTTCAATTAAACTGTCCTCGATGGTTCTTTTAGGACATGTTCTGCTTGTTTGTGGCGTAGGCCATTGCTGTGTGTCCTCTAGATACTCAGGCCTCTTTCATCCCAAAAGGTCTCTTATAATGATTTCTTCATCATTGCTCAGTCCACACACCTCTCTCCTTTTGCTCTGCTTCCTCTCTGTACTGAAGACTTCACATAACTGGTTTATGTCCTTATTACTGCATGTTTAGTTGCTGTTTTCCAAAATTTATTTTCTGTGCCCCCAAAACTCTACAAATGACTGAAGACCTGGAGTAAAAAAAAACATTTTAATGGGAGTGTTCTGGGAAGAGAACATTAAAATGAAGGGAAGACAATACAGACACGTGATTCGGAGAGAAAAGTAGAAAAGAGGAAAGGGAGAGGGTAAAATTCTCCTCCCAATAAAGTCTAAAAGTGTCATGACTTCTTATAGATGTTAATGCATTTCCAGCAAATATTTTTGGGAATTGAGACTCACTCTTAATTTCTCTTTTAACATGCCTTTTTCTGCTCAGATCTTTTGCATGCCTTTAAGGTGGTCTTTCTTGTAGTAGAATATAATAATCCTAATTAAGTTTTCTCTTAGAATTGTCAGAGTATCTCTTACTTTGTGCTGATAAAAAACTGCTTTCCTATAGGGAAATCTTTATTTACAGAACCATAAAAAAAAAAGACATTCTTTTACTGTTAATTCTCAGTAAATTTCCCAAGAACAAAAATATATTTAGAGGACTCAACTAGTGACTAATTTTTTTAAACAGTCAGGTTAGTAAAATTTTTCTAGTTCTATGAGGAATTAAAATATAGTGATTAGAATATATGTTTAAAATGAGAGGTTGGTTAAGACAACAGTACTCTCTTACAAATATTTGGCAAAAGTTACAGATTGGTCATTTGGTAGATATATTTGTAGGGATAGTCTTTTCATTTTTTAAAACAACAAAAAAATTTTAATTATTTCTGGAATCTAAGAGAATCAACTTTTTGTGAATTCATGTTGCCTGAGCCTTACACGTGTATGTGTATATTTTAAAATATACAGTAATGAGTTTTTAACATCGTAAAAATGTTGGTTTGGGGAGTTTACTCCCAGCTCACCGCTGATGGGTCACTCCCAGTAAAACTCCAGGATCCATGTGGTACCGGGGTTTAGATCTAGGACTTCAGCACCGGAAGCACACACTTGTTGCTCTCTGCTGGTCCCACTATCTTAAAATGTTTAAGATTAAGATTCAGTCGTGTTGAATATATTCACATTGCGAAACTTTTCACCACAAAAAATTGAAACTCATAACAAATAACCCTGCCCTTCTCAGCCTCAGCATACTGATTGTAGCAATGAGTTTGACTCACCGTGAAAATACTTTAAAAAAAATCTAGAAATAGTTGGGAGGTGATCATCACTGAAAAGAGTTTGTGAAGTATATTATAAGTAAGAGCTGATGACCATATTTTTTTTATAAAGAGTAATTTTTTTATTCTTTTGTTAATCCCCGCAGAGTGAGTCATCTCATTTTGTAACATACTTGTCCCTATTGCTATTGTCCATTTATATTCTTGGAAATAGCTTATGTGCCTTTCTGTGACCTCGAAGATGCAACTTTCAGAGAAGAACCTACTTAAGAGATAAGGGAAGGTGGTACTTGAGATTATAGACAAGGAAAGAAGGTGACAGGAAAATGTGAGAGGAATAATTCAGATAAATTGAATCTCTAGTTAAACTCCAGCAGATTTCCACAGTCTATAAAAGCAGAAGTGTTCTAGCTTGGATAAGTATGAGACTGACACACTGCCTGCTAACAAGGCACTTAAGCTGGGATAAGTATATTTTAGAAGAGTAAAACTTCAAAATAAAGGAACGAGAAGGGAAAAAATTGCAGTTAGATGATGAGAAAGAAAACCTAATATGATAAAGGAAGGAAAATACTAAAATTTAGAAAGAAAAAAATAAGCAAAACCTTGTTGATAATAGCCATTGGATATTCTATATTTGCCAAGTCCCCTGCCCTTTTTGTGTACTCTATTTTTCACTCTATTTTATGTAGGTTTGTGTGAGGTTTATCCCCATTTTATAAAGATACATGAGCCAAGTAATTAATTGATAGAATGCTAATTGTTAGAAATCTGTAATTCAGAAATAGCTTTTAGATCATTCTTTTGGGCTGGAGCAGGTAGGGCATAATTCCTGAGTGCAGAGCCAGGAGTAATCCTTGAACATTGCCAGGTGTGACCCAGACCCCACCCCCTACCTTCTGTCCCCCACCCCCCAGTTTTTTTAACCTATGGTAAAGAGCATGACTACTTTATAAACTATAAAATTAGTATAAATTTCAGGTTGTGTTCCTCTTTGTAGAAATTAAATCCTGACATTCTTTGGGGATTCTGTATTTTTAATAAACCTTATAGGTATTAACTGCAAAGCCCTGGAGAATACTTTCTGTCATTAACTGTATTTTTTACATAGATTCCTTAGAGACATAGTTTCATTGGCAATTATCCTTCCTTGCATATAATTGTTCCCTGTGTAAATTTCTTTGTGCTTTGCCTCCACTGGGTTCAAAAGTACAGTGTTCAAGGGATCTGCTGCAACGTCAGGTTAGAATGGTTTCAGAAAGAACTTGTGCTTTGAGCAGGGTTTTAGCATCATTTGTACTGCCCAGCAGGGACAGAGCAGTCACTAATGACTTTATCATTGGAACTCTGTGCCACACAAGTCTACGTCCTTTTTTTGGAATTCCATATTTAAAAAAAAAATGTTACCCAGCAGATCACAGGGAGTATTGTGAGTATACTCTGAGTACTCATCATAATGCACTGAGGTGTTTTCTTCTCACACTTTTCAGATTTTACAAATCTAGTCACAGATTTCAAATGTAACTGGTGTGGATAAGCACAAAGGATTTTTAGTAAAGAATGAAGGCATTTTGCCCTGCCTGTGATTCCGCATCATTTCACACGTAATAGTCTGTTCTTTCTGCTTAGATGTTCGGGAACTGGACATTTGGCACCTTGGTCTTCACCGTCATGGTCATAACTGTCACCGTAAAGGTATGGTGTGGCCATTAGAAGCACAGACATGCCCTGTGCCTGCATATAGCATGGTTTGTTTTCTTTCATTCTTGATGTACAGGTAGTTTTTCTACTTCAGTCATGAATAATAGTTTTTTTTACTAAAACTATTATTGCTATTTCAGAGGGTTTTTTTTAATGATAGAATTTTTCTGTTGGTTTATTATTTTTAAAGCCTCATTTTTTTATGGTCTAGTAAAGATTAACCTCATAAAAATTCTGCTCTTTGAAATTTTGTTTCTGTCCATAATGTACAAAACTGCAGTTTATTGTAAGGCACAGGATTGAGGGAAAAAGTGCTCATAAAGTTCCAAAGATGTGGGGCTGAAGCGATAGCACAGCGGGTAGGGTGTTTGCCTTGCGGATGGCTGACCCGGGTTCGATTCCCAGCATCCCATATGGTGCTCTGAGCACCATCAGGAGTAACTCCTGAGTGCAGAGCCAGGAGTAACACCTGAGCATCGCTGGGTGTGACCCAAAAAGAAAAAAGAAAAGTTACAAGGATGTGTTCTCCGAAGAGAAAAATACTGTAAACTTAAAATTACTCCTTTTCATATAAAACATTGCTAACACTTCTTTAGAAATGTTTTTCTAAATTTTCTTTATATTATTGGCTTCAAAATTAATATTTATCTTCAGAACAACCTTGCCATAGAACTTTAGTCATTGTATGGGAAACCAAGCAGAATGATAATTGTTCTATTTTATAATATATTTTATTTTCCAGTTTTATCTGAGAAGTTAAAGATTTAGATTGAATTTCGTATTTGTTACATTTCTAAGGATTTTTAAATTTATTTTGTTTGTTTTTAGATGGCTTTGGAAACTCATTTTTGGACCTGGATCAACCATCTTGTTACCTGGGGCTCTATTGCATTTTATTTTATATTTTCTTTGTTCTATGGAGGGATTCTCTGGTGAGTGACTATGTTGTAGTCAATACTTGAGTTATATTGACTCAGCTGTAACAGTAAAAGTGACAGAATGTATTGCAAGCAAATTGTGCTCAGAAAAATTTTGAGAACTCTATTGTATGTACTTCTTTCATTTGTCTTACTAAAATGGGAGAAAAGAAACCAGTGGTTACTGACTACTTCGTTGTAGTTGTTATATGCAAGATGTTAAGATCAGTGCATCACAGTAATCTTTTTTGACCTCCTTTATGCTATATGGAAGTGAGCCAGATCACAAAGGTTGAAAAAATAGCAGTTAGGAATTAACTGCAATGGATTATTTTAACGGTTTTATTAACTGTTTTATTCCACAGTTAATGTTCTTGAGACATATTCTCTCTGAACTATTAATGCAAGTCATAGAGAACCATTAAATGTTCATGAGTGAGTTAATTTACCCCTCAAAAGTAAATATATGCTTCATCTTCTTTGGTAAAACCAGAGAGTGGTGGCTCTTACAGATTAAAAATCAATGGCTAAGACTCTTCAGTAATTGGTAGACAGCTAGCTCTTTCTGAAACTTTATATAGCATTCCCTTCTGTACCTATGATCTCTGTATTAGGCAAAATTTTATAAAAGTTAGACAGAAAAATAAAACAGATTCAGGGAGCTTATCTCTTATTGATAAGCATGACTGTTATTGTAATGTTTGTTTTTAATGCTTTTTATTCCCACCTTTCTTTCTATACCATCTTGTTTTTCTCTTGACGTGATAAGATAAAAATCCACAAAGAGTATCTTGATAAAACCTTCACTCTAAGGGTAGAGAAAGAGTACAGGGGTTAGGGTGCTGATTTTGTACACAACCAGCACTGTGATCCCCCGCACCACACAAGGTCCATTTCGCCCCGACCTTCCCTAAGCCCTGCCAAGAGCAATCCCGGAGCATTGCCGGGCATGGCCCAACCACCAAAAAGAAAACAGAGAGAGTTTTTGTCAGTAAGTAGATTTTGTTTCAACCTACGATGAAGTAAGCTTAGTCACTCACAAAATATTTTATCATGTAATTTTTTTATTGCTTTCCCAGTCACTTAAGTCTGTATTACTACTTAATTCTTTTAACATTAAAACTAAGAGTTTTCTGATGAACTACTTATCACTTCCCTAGTAATAAAGACTATAGTCGTCATTAGAAGTGATTAACTTGGATTTTTTTTTTAACAAAGTTTGTCTTGTTTTATTAGGTAACTCAAGTAAAGCATAGCACTGTAGCACTGTCCCCCCGTTGTTCATCGATTTGCTCAAGCGGGCACCAGTAACAAATTGTGAGACTTTTTGTTACTGTTTTTGGCATATCGAATATGTCACAGGGAGCTTGCCAGGCTTTGCCGTGGGGGCGAGATTCTCTCGGTAGCTTGAGGGGCGGAGGAATCAAACCCAAGTCGGCCTTGTGCAAGGCAAACGCCTTACCTGCTGTGCTATCGTTCCAGCCCAAGTAAAGCATACTGGCTTTAAATTTGGGCACCTTCATGAAGTATTACTAAGTTCTTAGCCTTTGTGTAATCAGAGCAATAGTACAGTGATTAAGGCACTTGCTTTGCATACCCACCAACCTGGGTTCAATCCCTGGCACCAGAGAAGGGTCCCTGAGTCCCTCCAGGAGTGATCCCTGAGCACAGCCAGGAGTAATCCCTGAGTACCAAGCCCTAAACAATGCTGGGTGTGATCAAAAAAACAAACAAAAAAATGAAAATTAAGTTTTCACCTTCAGATTGTTTACATGATATTCTGACTTAAGAAACCCTCTTGATAGGCAAGGCCGGGGATGTGGTTTGGTGGGAGAGCGTTTGCTTTGCATGAGTGAGCCTCTGGATTTGATTCCCAGTACTCCATTTTCTCTATTTCAGGCCATTTGTGGGCTCCCAGAATATGTACTTTGTATTTATTGAGCTCCTATCAAGTGCTTCTGCCTGGTTTGCCATAATCCTCATGGTTGTTACATGTCTTTTTCTTGATGTTGTGAAGAAAGTATTTGACCGACAGCTCCATCCTACAAATACCGAAAAGGCACAGGTAATTACTTTTCATGTACAGTGTCTTTTAAATTGGGGGTATTTAATGATGACTGGCTATGATCCTGATCTGCTTATACAAATAAATTGGAAATGATTCCAAGTACTTTGCAGTCAATATCACTAATGTAATGTTTTTATTTTCTTTTATTACTCCTGACATAATTTTAATGAAATTTTGTTACCAAAAGAACTCCAGGTTTTAAACTATAATACCAAGCTACAGCTGTGTAATGTGTAAATTGTTATTTATATGGCTTAATAAAGATGTTTTAAATAATATAACATTTCTATCATATATGTATAATTACATATAGGGATACATATTCTTGTGTTTAGAGACAATAGAATTTAAATGATATTTTTCAGGTTATGCTTTCAAGAAAATGTTTTGAAATAAGTTCTTTCACCTAAGTAAATTTTACGAAAACAATTTTTAGGACCCAGGATATTCCTTAGAGGTAGGACATGCATGTGTGAGGACCTGCGTTCAATCCACAGCAATTGCAGAAAAAGCCAATGAATCATTTAAAATATATTATCTCATTAAACATTTACTGATACATATTAAATAGACTAAATAGTAATGGTATGTTGCATAGTGTTTAAGAAGATAGACTTTATGGCCTCACTTCAATACCCACTTCTACAACTTGGTCTCCTTGTGACATTAAACTTCAGCTTCCCAGAGCTGGAGAGATATAGGACAGCACTTACAAGAGACAGAGAGCGAGCATTTCCTTGCATGCAGCCAACCTGAGCTTGGTCCCCAATACCCCATATGGTCCGCCGAGCACCACCAGGAGTGGTCCCTAAGTGCAGAGCCAAGAATAATACCTGAGCATTGCTAGGTGTGTCCATCCCCCCTCCAAAAAAAAAAAAAGTTATTCAAATATGTAGTAAGTAAATGCTCAAGGTAGCTGGTTTTGGTTTATTTAACTTGTACCTGATTTGTCCTATTAACTGTAATATAGTTCTGGACATTTGCTCTTACGAAAATCTTCCAATCAGCTCTATGTCTTCAATAAACACTGCTTTTTTTAAATCATTTTTACATTGATTAAAATTTTTGCCTTATGCTTGCTATATATCAAACTTTGCAAGTTTTGTTGTATATTTATACTACAAGCAAATTAAGTACTTCATAAGGTGACTTGAATCAGAAACATAGTTTCAGTTCAGTTAACGATATTGACATTTTTCTAACATTTATTTGCTTTGTTCACTCAGTTTAATCCTAGACAAATGTACATTTTAACACTATTGATGCAACATAATTCTCTAAAGCCTGTAAGCTTAAGTCAAATACTGTTTTAACTATTTCTAAGGAGTATGTCCTAATTAAGCCCCCTGCTAAGCTGGATCTCCCTTGTAAAATCAGAATATTATTAATACTTTATGAGATTGCTAGATAATAAAGTACCTAACCTTGGACCTATATGTAGTATTTCCTTAGTAAAACATTATTAATTATAGAATGATAAGATTATTGCTCTGAGCCAAAAAATTTTCTAACCCAGTCACTCTATGTTGGCTTGTATTTGTATCAATATGGACATATTTTTACTCAGTATATATTCCTTGAATATGTATCAAAATTTTGCCTATCTTATTTCTAATCTCCAGAGATGGATATTTACCAGAAGTGCTAACATTCTCTTTTATATTTTTTCTAGACCCTTATGGCGAACACATCTGTCTCCCACTATTGGCCTATATAAATATATTTTCACCAAAATATATTACTGTCATCACTTTAAAAATTTAAGTTTTTATAAATGTAACCATTTATTTACATTTAGAAATTAGGCAGAGAACTTGCAAATTTATGATATATTTTATAAAGATTTCTTAATTATAACAGGTGATATTAGTACTTGTTACCCTTACTGTGATCTTTCTAAAGAATTACATAGGACATATTTAGTATTTTAAGGTGAGTGACCTTAGCTAAGAAATAGCTTAAAATACTTTATATATTTTAGCTCTTTTACCAAATGTTAAAACTGATTTCAAATAATATATGTGATAAATCAGTCATGTTTTTTCTGTGTACAAAATGGCCCAATTATTTTTGCTCCACTAAATTCATTTTTAAACGACTTGACCAGATGCTCTACTGGGGTCTAACCCAAAGGGGAAATTTCTCATTCCACTCAAGGATCTCTTCATCACCTGGGTCGGTTTTCTTCCTGTCTCTCCCTTCCCTGATCTCACTCCCCTGCCGCCTCACATCCCCTCCTCCCATTCCCATCCTTCACCCCTCAGAAAGAGCAAATCATCATTCCGATCCCGTGTGTGATACTATTCCTTTGCTACAGGCAGTAACCTTTACTGTTTCAGCCCATGTTCTCACCTTTGACTTCATGATGATAAAATGGTTAGTTATAAACTGCTTTGTTGCTTACCATAGAAATTAAGAAGTATCGACATTTATTTTTGAGCTTTATTTTCCCCAGAATAGCTGTGTGCTATTCAGAGTGAAGAGTAGGTATCATTGATGGCAGAGCCAACAGCCCTACAAATGTCGTTCATGTGTGTACTGTGTATGATATTTTCTACTCTCGTAGGAACAGATGTCTTCACAAAGCTTGTCCTGTGTCTGTCTCTTGGGTAATGAATACAGCTCACTGACTTGTTGTATGTCCCATCCTTTTTCTGTCCACTTATAGATGTACTCCAACACAGTCGCTTTAAGTGACGAGTTCATCGCACTGCAGCCTTTGTCGAGGGCAAGGAATCAGCTGAGCAGACTTAGGTAGAGTAGGAGTAGAACCTCATTAACTCTTCTGCATGCTAAAGGTCAATGAAACAATATTCGCAGATGGGCAGAGGCATGAATTAAGGGGGGGGGGGGGTGAACAGAGACTGAGTTGTTCAGTCTCTAGTTTGACCTTTATTGACATGTACATTAAAACCGGAAAAGAAAAAAAGATATATTCATTGCTTCAGAACAAAAAAAAATTTAGATGAAAATTTAGTATAACAGGACAGAGCTCTGTACCTTGTTATCTATTTTACATCTCAACTATTTCTAGCATGATTTGAATGCTTCTGCTTGTCATATTCAAGAATGCTACTGCATGTTGAGTAATGTAAGCTACAGAAATTCATCATAAAGGTTGAAGTGTTAAGTTGCAGTTACTTGGGAGTAAGAGTTGTTCGTGTTTGGTCTTGCCCTACTCTGTCTCGTAAACACCTCGCGTACTTGTCCATGTGCACTGTAATGGCGGCTGGCATCTCGATTGTTGCTCCTGTTTTAAAGCATCTATAAATTAAACAGTATATTTTCTATCTTGTATATACCTCACTCCGACCGGACTTGAAGAAAAGTTCATAACTAAATGTATTTTTCATGTTTTCCACTTTTCTGTTTCTTGCCCCAGAAGGACCTTGTAGGTTCTTAATTTATATGTATTTTTAATGCTTTTTACTACCAGGGTTTCTATGTTCACTTGATTGAATGGCTTTGTTGTAGCATGACTTAAATGACCTGATGCATCCTTCTTATGGCATAAATTTTAACAATTCTAAAGGTTTACTGAAATTTTTTACCATTTTCAAGATTTTTGAAACATTTTAAATTAAATTGCAAAGGCTTAAGTGCAGATAAATTTTCAGATCTGTGGTTAAATTTCCTATTTAAAACAGGAGTTAAAATCACAGCAGACTTGAAGATTCACCTCTTTTAAGCCAAATAATGTATATCCATTATCCTTCACGATGCGTTTTTATAAACTGGGTATTTATCACTTTTTTTCAACATCTAATTTAACTTTAATTCAGGCATTAAAATTATTTAAAAGACCCCTATAGGACCAGGGAGATAGCCCTGTCGGGAGATTTTTATGGCAAAGAATTTAATAGAAGAAATTGAATTTCATTGAAGGAAAACATGGTTTTTAATGAACGGTAATGCTGTGCCTTGGGAAACCGTCGCTTCCTTTGGTTGCTCTGCCGTGTGCCTCGTCCGAAGCTGCTACTAGCTCTCTGTGACATGTATTTCTGCCTTGCTGATTGTGGACCCCAATTTGCTGTTGTGACGTAAACTTACATAGAGTGAGAGAATTTTCTGTAATCTGAGACCTGTTGCTTTTCTGTCCTTCCAGATGGAAGAAGATAAGGGTTCAGTCAGCTCAGCATATGAATTTGCTGAAAGCGAGCACAGAGGGGAGGACAGTGGGCACCTGCTAGCTGAGGCTTGTTCTTGCGTGACTAGGTAGTACTGCGCGGAAGTACTTGTGGGCGCCTGTCTGCTAAGTTCTCACGCCGGGGGCATGCTATGGGAGCACGGGCCTGACCTTTCCATTCTTACTAACTCCTTCACTGCCATACGCTCTTTTGGTTGACTTTGTTTTCCTTTCCTGTGATCTTCGCATTTTTATATGTCCACCTGTCCCGGTTTTGTTATCAATCCCTTGGAGATCTGTGTTGTCATCCTTCATCTCAAATTCTAACTTTGGAAGCTACTCACAGCCTGTTGTCTTACAGTCCAGACAGCATTCCTCTTCACTTCTCCTTTAGAAACAGTTGTGCTACTTTTGGTATTTCCGAAACCAGTTTGCCCACTTGAAATTCAGTTGTTCCTCGGTATGCACATCTGAATCTAGTTAGTTAGACACAAAACTGCCTCCTGAGTTAAATGATTACATAATTCTTAGATCTGGTATGGAATAATTTTTATAGAATTGTATTCACAAAACTATAAGTTCATACTTTTATTAATTATATCTTTGTAATTAAAAGTATGACCCAGTGAGAACTTACTTAATTCACTTCCCTTCTGAGAAATAAACCCTAACAACCACTTCTAGATCTAATTAGAATGTGCAAGAATATTTTCTCTTCTGGGATAAGCCCTTACAAATGACTTAAAGCCACTTGAAGATTGCAAAGGCCTTAACTCTATATATTAGACCATGAAACTGGTAGAATTACTTGAAAAACCTGAGTTATTCTGGAGGGCGTATTTTTCCAATTGGAGTTCTTCAATTTTCCTAAATGAAAAATGTTGAAGATTAATTTGTAAATTCTGCTGTTGAAATTCAAAACAACTTTGAATTTTTGTTTCGGGATGCTTCATTTGATTGTCCTTATATTTTTCTTATATTTTGATAAATACAGAAATCTTTTATATGACCTGAGTGGGCTCCAAGGAAAACCCAGCTAAAAAACATGCTGGATAAAGAGGGGACATTGGCTGAGATTTCTGTTATGACTCTGATAATCTGCAAGGCCAAGAGTCCACTTGAGACATTAATAGGCATTGCTGTAATAAAACTGAAAATATGTCTTCTGTGAGAAATCACAGAGCTCAAGTGGATTTTTGATAAGACATGGATCTGATGCTGCCTTACTTTATGTATGTCCATTAAAATGTTGAATACAGTTGAAAATTGAGCTCACTGAATGCTCTTAGGACAAAAGAGATCATGCTGTTATTACTATAATTCAGGGGTTCCATGAAGGTTCTCATCCTATGATAATTGGTCTCTCTTCTTGTAAAAAAAGAAGCTAAATGAACTCATTGGCTGTCAAATTCTGGGGGGGGGGGGGGGTATTATCCTGAAACTAACTTTTTTCTGCCAATTTTTTTCTGAATTAGAATTAGTAGAATGAAAAATACAGAATAGTTTTCTTGATGTGTTTTTGCCCTTGGCATATATTGTAAGATAAAACTCACCTAGTGCACATTACATAGTATTATCCTTCTACTTTTTTTCCTTAGAAATGACTGTTATTTCTCTAATCAAACCTGTTGAATCAGGCCAAGAGTTATACTGAGCCCTTAAATTTGACCAGGGATTAGGGTCTGTCTTCCAGTCATCTCCCTCTACTGTCACCTGCCATTGTTCTGTCATTTCTTTGTCTCTGGATTCCTGGCCTTGCCCTTGCTGCCTTCTCCAGCTGTCCCTTGCAACCTCAGGATACAGGACATTAGGGACATTCACCACCCTTGTTGTGCACCAGGTGCTTCAGTCCAAGCCCTGTAACCTGCCACACCACCACCCAGACCTAGAGTTTCAGCAAGATCTTCCCCTGTGCCAGAAATGCATACAACTCTCGCCTCACTGAACCAAACAGTGAACTCCAGAAGGCACAGAAAAACTCAGTGGTCTATATTGTTCACCTCTGAAAGCCACACTTTTCTGAATGAATCAAGTTCGGTAAACAAATGGGACCAAATACATTAGAAACCTAATAGATATTATGTTTTACTAAATTGATCTCTTCAGATCTGCTGACTTAGTGAGCAGCTCTTTTATCTGAGGGATCGAATAAAAATAACACTGACATTTTTACCCCTTTTTTTGGTAACATACAGTAAATGCCTTGATACTTAGAAAATTTTGTTTCGTGTGTGTGTGTGTGTGTGTATGTGTTATTTGACCATACCTGACATGTTCAGGGCTTACTCCTGGCTCTGTTCTCAGGGATAACTCCTGGCGAGGCTCAGGGGACCAGATGGGGTGTATCAGGGATCAAACCTGGTCGACCATATGCAGGGCAAACATCCTACCCATTACACTGTCACTTCAGCCCAGAAACCTAAATTCTTAATATCAACTGCGCCATGGCGTAGATCATTAGGTAGTGCTAGTCATCTTACCCTCACCATTAAATTGGGGGCCTCGGGGCCTGAGGGATGGATAGCTGGAAAGGCGAGAGTACATCTTTGCATGCAGGAACCCTGGCTTCAGTCCCAGCCCCACACGGTCCCCAAGCAGTCAGAGCATGACACCCCTCCCACCCCCCATCCCACCCCGGCCAGGTCCCAAGCTATGCCTCAAAAGGCAAAAAAAAAAAAATTGTTTTAATGGTGACATAGGAAGCAGAGATGTGGCTCAGTGGTGGGCATACGTGTAAGGGCCTCTAATGTGTAAGGGCCCAGAGTCAGTCCCTGACATTTAAAACATTAGAATAACCATTTTCAAATTACTCTTCCTCTTTGAACTGCAAATGAGTCATATGTAAGCACATCATTAAAGGGACCTCAGTCTTAAAGTAAGAAAAAAAATAGCCAAATTATTAAAAATCAATAATCTAACAAACATAATTCATACTGTTCACTTAATTTTCATAGTTCAGTTAGGGCAACATAGAGTAAATCTCTCAGGAGATCACAGAAAGACAATTCTGGAGGTAATTTATCTCTTTATAAGTGTCTTTCAGATTTGTTGACTTAGAGGAAGGAGGGGAGAGAGTTTACAGCAGTGAATATGAGTTTCAAACTTATTTTAGAGCAGCAAGTCGAATAAGACAGTTCCTCTCCAAGTGCCATCACTAAGTGACTACCTCTTGCAAATATTCAATTCCTTGTTCTAGGGAATCTTTTTTTTATCAAATTAGGAAATCAGTAATACTTTGTGACTTTTGATTTCACATTAAAAAACAAAGTTCTTTGGGGCTGGAGCAATAGCACAGCGGGTAGGGCATTTGCCTTGCATGCGGCCAACCCGGGTTCGATTCCCAGCATCCCATATGGTCCCCTGAGCACCTCCAGGGGTAATTCCTGAGCGCAGAGCCAGGAGGAACCCCTGTGCATTGCCAGGTGTGACCCAAAAAGCAAAAAAAAAAAAAAAAACCCACAAAGTTCTTTGGGGTGGAGGTCAGTGGAAGTAGCATGGAAAATATTAATGTGCAAACTATTATAAACGATATGCCAGACACAGTAACATTATAAACCACATTACTAAATCTCTGTAGCACTGTCCTCCTGTTGTTCATCGAGTTGCTCGAGCAGGCCCCAGCAACGTCTCCATTGTGAGACTTGTTGTTACTGTGTTTGGCATATCGAATACATCACGGGGAGCTTGCCAGGCTCTGCCGTGCAGATGGGATACTCTCGGTAGCTTGCCAGGCTCTCTGAGAGAGGTGGAGGAATCGAACCCGGCTCAGCCGGGCTGGCTGTGCGCAAGGCAAACGCCCTACCCACTGTGCTATCACTCCAGCCCATTACTAAATAGGTTTTTTAAAATATGCATAAGCCTTGTTAGGCATAAGCCTCATTGGGGTTTTTACAGCTTTTTTTTTTACAGAGTTGGAATGTAGAAAATGTTTAATGGAAAGTAGAAGAGAAAGTAAAAGGAATTCCCCATATGGGGAGGAACTTAGTATAGGACAAAGTTCCCCGTAATTATAGCTTAAGGCTTCTTTCCAAATACCTCCTCTAAGGCTATGCAGTGTTTACTTTGATTACCAAGTAAATAAAACAATTATAAGAGCAAAATAGCTAATACAATTAATAGTTCTATAATTCTTAACAAAGCTTAACAAAGCTTATTTTGACTTGCTAGGTGTTGTAGACATAACTTTGGAATTATGGGCCAGAAAGATAGTACGGCAGTTACGATGCTTGCCCTGCATATGGCTGACCCAAGTTCCATCCCCTGCACTCCAGATAGACCCACCAGCTGGCCAGAAGTAACCCAAAGCATAGAGCCAAGAGTAAACCCCGAGCATGTGTGGTCCAAAAAGAAAAAAAAAATTAGAAATAATGACAATATCTTAATATTTAGAAGATTTCAGGAAGATATTTTGTAGAAGCAGTAACAGAAAATTCTAAATGTTTACTATTATTGATATGAAAAATAACGGGAATAAAAATTATGAGCCAGGATTTATTTCAAAAAGAGCCAGTTCTACAAAGATGAAAATCCTTAACGGCCATACAGAGTCATGTTGAAGCCATGGTTGTTTCCTGGGTAGCCCTTCCCGTCTTGCTGAGTCTTATGGTCACTCCTGGGGAGAGTGTGGTTGAGAAATGGGTCTTACCCAGAAACCAACATTTCTGATCAGCGACTTCGTTTGGGGTGCCTCCAGTAGGGCCTCAATCTCATTGCTTTGCATTTCCCCCCCTGATATTTATCAGTGCCCAAAGTGATTCCCTCTCTACTTTAGATGAAATATGATCTGGAAACTCCATGCCGTTCCCACCGCTGCTTACTCTGGTAGCTCTGGCTGCCAGATCCTGGCTGGGGTCCCAGTTCTTGAATATGAGATCAAAGGTGTGCTAGGGAAAGCAGTAGCCTTGGAGATTTGCTGGAGAACACTATAGTGTTTTCTATAAATAGCGTCACAGAAAAGCAGTTCACCAGCATTTAGCATTTCCAGAGCAGCTGGGGATGTTTTTCTCTTTACGAAAAAAAAAAAAAAAGAAAAGAAACTAGATTTTGCTTAGTTCTCAAGATGATCTAAAGGAATCGCTTCTTTCTAATATTTGGACATGTGAAAACGTTTATTTTTTCTATTGGGCCGTTTATATTTTAATACCTGTCATTAGGTCTTGAGATGAAAGATGATGAATGCAAAGCAAGAGGTATTACCTCAGGTCACAGCCAGACAGTGTTTTGCACTTAGGGGGGCACTGAAAGGTTGCTGACCACCTTCTGGACATCATCTTTAGTGAATTTCCTTCAAGTGGCTGAACACCCACACCAGGCACACTGTCCCATTCTGAAGCACCTGGCCTGGTCCTTTCTGATCTAGCTCAGTGCTCCCCCAGGTAACTGCAGGCAAGACCAGTTCTTTTCTGTTGTTGTTAATTCATCATAGACCAATTCTTGTGTAAAATCCAACCAAAACTACTAGAAATGGAAGCACACTTGAGCAGAGTTTATCAGAATGTGTTTAATAGTCAAGAAGTATGAGATTCCACAGTAAATGAGGTACTTTACCTGGTTGTGGCGGGGAGAGAGATAAATTACTTGGAAAGTCAGCTCAGTTTCAAATTATCATTAGATTTAATTTCTAAAAGTATTTTGTTAAATTGCCTTATCACCTTGTGGGCCAGTGGCACTGTTTTCAGACCAACACTTGAACTGTGGGTCATACTTTGAGCCCCTCTGACTGGTCTTACTGCACTGGACAGAAGTGGTGACGACTCTTACTTATCCTTAGTCTAAATATGTGCTGAATACACATGGTACTGTCCAGCCCACGCACAATTACTCATTCTCCTCTTAGCCTGGAAAGCACTTTCTCCCTCATCCCCACCTATTGAAATCCCAACCAGTCTTCAAGATGAATTTCAGGCATCATCTTTTGTATCAAATTTTTCATGCCCTCCCCCCAACTGGGCTTGAGCCCTCCTTCCTTTTTTTCTTTTTAATATTTGTGGTCTGCCTCGTGCCATAATTGTAAGAAGGCAGGGTGATGGCATGATAAAGAGGTTTGGGCCTTAGAATCAAAGAAGCCCCGACTGTGAAACCTTCAACAGATTGTGAACCTGTTTTCTCAACTGTCAAAGAGATGAATCTGGTGCCTCTCCCATCGGGTTGTTGATGCGTTAACTGAGACAGGCTGTGAGAAGCACCTCTAGCACCTCTCCTAGTCATGGACACACATATGGTAATATTAGTGAATATAAGGCCCGACACAGCTCCCACCCTCCTCACCACTCACTCACTCCCCTGAGGGCCAGGCCAGTACAGAGCCATGCTTCATTTCGGAAGCTAAGTGTAAGCACTGTGCCACTCAAGTGACATAAACAAAACAGACTTCGCGGGGAGGTTATTAATAGCTGACGTGGTGAAAGAGGGAGATTTCATGGAGATGGTGACACAGAAACCCAACCCTGGTGGTGGCTCCGCATTCTGATCCGAATCGCTGACCGGCCCTGTCAAGCGTCTGCGCGCAGACCACGCACACACAGCTGCATGGGAGACTGCACAAGGGCATGAGGAAGCAGAGCAGGAAAGGCAGCCCGAGGCCAGGGATCCAAGGAGGAACGTGGACGCAACCCTGTTCTCTCAGCCTGCACCTCTTAAGCTGTTTCTGCGAATATTCATATTCCTTCAGATACTGGTTCATGTCCCGGGGTGGGGAGCAGTGGCAGGGCTTACCGAAAAAAAAATGAATTTGAGAATTCAGCTATCCCCAACCCTCCGCCCAGGGTCCCAATCATGAGTCCAGACTTAGTGATGAGGCTTGGCCAACACCTTACTGAAATAGTGTTTCCCCAAATGCCATGGGCTGCAGACTTGTTTCACAAACATCTGTAAACATCTGACAAAATCCAGATTAAGAAACAGTTCCCCGAATAGCCCTGGACCCGAGGATATGATGAAAGGGCAAGTAAAATGTGGTTGTATCTCGTGTTTAGCAAACCTAGAACATTGGTACAAGTGGGCCCTTGCCAAATTGGATCTGTGTGGGCTCTTGTTGCTCAGTACTTGGTAGGGTTACACTGGCAGGGATTTTGCAGGACCCCACCAGTCGCTGAGGTTCAGAATGTCAGGTTATTGACTGTCCATCACATCTGTGTCTGTGTCCATTGTGAACAGTTCCACAAACGTCCCCTGTTGTCACGCTTGTTCCTAACACTTGGTGATTCCCAACCTCTGTGGTAATACTAATTGATTTGTTGTGGTTCTCCTTGTTCTAGAGTATAACTATATATACTTTAATGCTGTGTAATATAATGCTATGTAAAAAGTGCATGAAATTTGTTGGTTTGTAATGACAGCCCTTGAAAAATTTAGGATCACCTTTGTCTGCATCAAAACCAGGGTTGGGATTCATTGGACAATGTGGTCATACCATTTTTTCCCTCATTTTAACACAGTTAAAATTAGTAGTAGTATGGTTTTATCTTGTGGGGTTATTTGTGTGTGGATTACTGTAAATGCTGCAAATTATTCAGATTGTTTTAAATTTAAAAGCACAGATCAAGTGTATAATAAATTTCAGTATATGTACCATCAGATAATTTTTTAAGAGGAGGATGAATTGATTATGGTCATGGTTGGCACATAATAGTTGCTTACTAGTGCAAGTTAAATAATAACTTTTTTCAGGAATAATTATAGAGTGAATATATTTACCTGAACATAATGCTTAGAATTTGGCACATAATAAGCACCACATAAAGTATTTGCTGTTGTTATTATTGTTACTAAAAATTAAGGCCTGCCTGAATATTACTTCCCTGTCTTCAAAATGGTTCACATTCCATTTTTCTCACAATTTTACTTGAAATTGCAAAAGCATTTCACACACACAAATCAAAAGAATTGGAATTTATTAAGTTTCTGAGTTGTGACATAAATCTTTTTTTTTTTTTACTGTGATGATTAAAATAAGATATCAAACTTCGGTAATTCAAATACTATCTAGCTACTTGTCTTAAATATAAAATCATGTTCCTTGATTTTTGATTTAGGAAAGAGTGCCTTTAAAATATCCTGGTATGATTAGTAAACCAAAAGCCCCCAATCAAAAACCTAAATGTCTTTACAGATTACTTTTGATTATAAGCTGATTGTTGTAATTCTGTAATGCTTCTCAAAAGTCCAAATTTCTAAGTAATTCTTTTTTTTCCTTTTTTCCCCCGACTTCAAACCCTCCAGCTTACTGAAACAAATTCAAGTATCAAATGCTTGGACTCCATGTGCTGTTTCTCAGAAGGAGAAACAGCGTGCGCGTCTGTTGGAAGAATGCTGGAACGAGTTATAGGACGATGTAGTCCCACCCATGTCAGCAGGTGTGAAATTTCTCTAAGTAGCCTTTGCTGCAGATGAGTATCCTGTAAACCGGAACGGGATGAACCTGCATCTGTAGATCCCTAATAAGTCCACAGCGGGTCTTAACAACCGAAGCAGGAAGTGTGCTATTTACTGGCACTCATTGATGATAGCGGTCACCTTGTGGTTGGGGGTCAGGGGTTCTCTCAGTCATAAAGGAAGAAAAGCACCTTGGAAGAGACTTTCCGTCTAATGAACAAACAACAAAATCCTTGCTTTCTTATCTTCCTAAAATGTGACTAGGAGTGTGAATGTGGTACTCTGAGTTGGCTTTTATAATTTTCTTTTTTCTGATTATACTTATACTGCTGTTCTATTTCCTCTTTTTTTCCTTTGTATTTATACAATAATCTATAATAGTGAAATCAAAAAATTTTGCTTTTCTTACTCTTCCTGTATATTTTCTAGTCATATGAGACTTTGAGGTATTTATAAACACAAAAGACTGTGTCTCCGCTCCCCTGTCCCTTTTGATCTCTGTAATCAGGTTGGAAAATGAGTTGTGATTTTTTTTTTTAATATTTTGCTTGGTGTTGATGGTCTGAAAGTTCCTGACTTAGAACAGGCTTTTAAAATTACGTGGTTTAGAAGAATCTTAGCCTTTTTGTTCCTTTCCAAATCTATTTCTTCAATTAGATTTATCATATTTTGATTGCTTTTGTTCTCAAAAATCCTTGGGGGGGTAAATGAAAATTTTACTTAAAATTGAAATGAATTAATTTCCTCCTGTATTTCCCCCAACAGACATAATGATATCTGTTGGAGATAACAAGGAATAGAAGTAACAGTTTTCATGTGTCCAAAATCAAAGCAGCAGTGCAGGGGTACACGGAGAGTTTTACCAATGGGAGAGATAGGCAGTGCTTCCCACATGCATCCTCCCTCTCTGCATGACCATGGCTGGGAAAGGGGTAGAAACTTTCCCAGGAACAGGGAAAGAGAGCAAAGGAACCACTGCTCTCCCGTAGGCTTGGTGTCTTTAATGATGAGAGTGTTTTCATAATGTAGCACATAAATCAGATTTTCTGGCAAACATTAGTTCCCACTTTGCCGTTCCAGGCCCAGTCTGTAAGCTGCTGTTGCCTTTATAAATAGTATTCTTGTGGCAACATGATGTCTTTTTGTTTTGTTCCTCACTTATTTATTCAAACATGTGATCAAAATATTTACACACTGTTTTTATGATTTGGCAGTAATTTCATGCCACATGAAAGAATTACATGAGCCCCTGATTATATTGGGACTTTGTTATGATTTACACCATTGTATTGTAAAATGCATGTAAGAAACCAGTTCTGTCATTAGCTAGGTTAACAAGTTTTTCAGAGTTCCAAAAGGATCTAATTTATAATCTTTTACTTAAAGATGGGGCCCAGAGAGTTCAGCAGGTGAGGCACTTGCTTTGCATGCAACCAACCCAAGTTCGATCCCCGGCATCCCATATGGTCCCTGGAGCACCACCAGTAGTGATTCCTGAGCACAGAGTCAGGAGTAACCCCTGAGCACTGCTGGGTGTGACCCAAAAACAAGAGAGAAAAAGAGAGCGCACACTTTTTTTTAACTGTACAGAACTAATTTGGGAGTTAGACCATGAGACTACTCTGGAACTTTCGCAGAATTTTAAATTTGTTTCAAGTAGTTCTCTTTCATGACAGTATACAACTTTGCCAGCTGTTGACAACAAAGTAGAATGAAATTTTTAATGAATTAAAAATTTCTCTGCTCTGTCTACTCCCATTTTCCTGGTATCAATTATTTTGCTCAGCTGCTCCTGTTATTCTTTCTGTAATCTGTTAGTTATTTTTTGTTTTGGTTTGGAGGCCACTCCTGGCAGCACTTAGAGGTCACTCCCAGCCATGCTCTCATGCTTGGAGGACCGCGCAGTACCAGGGCGTGAACCCCAGACTCCTGCACACAAAGCATGCTCTCCGCTCTCCTGCCCTTGCGGCCATCACCCCAGCTTGGTAGCCATTTTTGTCTGCATTATCCCTTTTGGGGCTGCCCCTGGATTTATTTTGGTATCTTCTCTTGAAGGTAACGTTTATCATCTATCCTTGTTTTCACCTAAAATTACTCCCTATTCTTTCTTTCAATACGACTTTTGATTTTCGGAATCAACTGTTTTACAGTAATTAAAACTTACTCGACAGACTGACTGTAAGTACCTTTCCAGTTCTGTTCAACATTTCAGGTCGGATCATTCATTACTGTTATTACTGTATTCCTTTTTCCTCTTCTTTTTTTTAATTCCTTCTTCAAATGAATAACCTAGAAAAGTCTGAGACTTTTTATTCATTTTTCTTCTAATGGATAAAATCCGATGATATGCAAAACCACTTGGTGCTTTTCAAAGGGCTATATGAAAATTGCCATTGGTCCATTAACGTTATATTCAAAGTATGAAAGTCTTTTGTTATCTAGAGTTTTGTTTTTGTTTTTTTTACATATGATTATCTCTATAAACTATGTCTAGTTTTTATTTTAGAGCAGCCTGTCTACCTTTCTGATTCTTGTCTGACTTAAAAGGGAAAGACCGATACCCCTCCCAAATACAGGAAGTAGAAGCATTGCCTGTTTGTTTAGAATATTAAACATAAGAGGTTATGAGCATCACTTGTTACATATTTCTCTGGTGATTGAACTTTCCCCATCCACAAAATTTCCACTTGTACATTATTAACTATTGCTGTCAGAGGAACATGTCATATTGCAAGGTCAGTTTCAAAAGTAGCATCATAGTAATTATAAAGAATATGCCATGTTGTACCCTTAAAGGGCTGTACTTCAGCAATAACTGATTTTCTGTATGTAACTTACCAAGAGTTACTTTATCCCAATCAAAATTTTTCTTCTAAATAGAAAGGAGTTGATGATATTTATCGTATGAATGCACATGTGCTTTGAAGAGATGAGAAATGAAAGAACCATTACCTAAGATGATTCTCTGTAAGCAAGGTTGGAAAAGAGGAAAAATGTTGGCAATGGAACCTTGACTTCCAGGGCAACGGGGGTATTGCTAGTTAATTTTTCTCATGTGTCTGAGTGGACTTTTTCTTACACAAATACTATAATTAGTTCTTATTTTCATTTCATTCATTTATTGTACAAATACTGAGTGCCTACCATGTACCAGACACAGGTGCTAGTGAGACGGTGTAGCAAACAAGCCCTTCCTTGAACTAAGGTAGGAACTAACCAGGCTTTCTGGTGATGAGTAAGCTTAGACAACCAGCAAACCGCTGGTAATAGTTGTTGGGGTGTTTGTCTTCCTCTTTGCCAACTTTGTAAAAGTTCTGGGTTCCAAACTTCATTGTGACTATGCTCATTTAATTGATTTAAACTTGAGTCTCTAGGAAACAGCAGATATTTTTGGTATCATGTGAATTTGGGGCATTTTAAATGCTAGACTGTTCTGGCATTTTTATTTAAGGAAAGTGGAAGCCCTGGAAAAAAGTAACATCAGATACCTCTATTGTCAGAGTATTTTTAGCTTTCTGAGAAAAGCCACCTGGACTTTGGTAATCCTAATCCTGTCTCTGAAATAGCTCCAGCTCTTTTGGGCACCTTGGCTGGCTTTATTCTTGAATTAGCTTAAAGTAATACAACTGCAAGTAAAGTATTCCATCATGAATTATGGGCCTCCCATTCAGGCAGTAGTGAACTTTGCCAGTTCAGTTAGAGGATCATTTGTTCTTTGTTAAGTAAAACTTTGACTCTGATGACTTTCTAAGGTTAGTACTTTGATAACTATTGATTAAAACATCTTCTATATTCAAGTTAATTATGCTGAAATCTTTAGAATGAGTTTATCGCTGAAAATATCAAACCGTATTATGAAAATTATGAACATACTATTCCAAAGCTTTGGGTAAGTGGCCCTTTTATTTGCTTGTGTGATGTCAAAGTACCACCTCGTTGTTTTTTAGTAAACTGGATGTTTGTAGCTTTTAACGTACTTATTTCTTCTTGAATTGTTAAGCTTTTAAAGTGTCTCATGCTTTACTACCTAGAGAAATTGTGCTAGTGTTAATGGCTGTTTGAATTTTGACTACTATTTTTATATGATGGAGAACATATATTTTCCCAAGTTTGTGTATGATATGAATAGAATGTTTGGTTGTGCGACGGTCGACTGGAGAATTTCTCGTTAGCGTTACGAAGTGGATCAATCACTGCTTATTTAAGAACTCAAATTGCACTTGGGTCCTAAGTTTTAGAGTAAATTTTTTTTTCTCAATTAAAACATAGGTCCTGGTGAGCCAAACTTCTCTCTTATTGTTACTTTAGATCATGGAGTGCAGCGGATCCTTTCTATACCAACGACAGGAGCATCTTGACTCTCTCCACAATGGACTCATCTACTTGTTAAAGGGGCAGTAGTACTTGGTGGGAGCCATTTCTGCTCCTTTTTAAAATTGAGTCTGATCGTCCTGGTAATGGCCACACTGGCTCTGCAGAACAGCTTTCCAAAACCTGGAGTAGCTCAGGTCTACTCTGAATTATAATGGCAAACCAGCCAAAAGCAGTGACATGAACTCATCTCAACCCCCCAGTTTGAATCTGAGTATGTTAAAATTTATGACTAAGAACCGGGAAGATGGCTCGGAGGGCTGCAGTGCATGCTTTCATGCAAGGAGACCCCGGGTTTCATCCCCACCACCACCCAGGTTCCCAGTACAGTTCTAGGAGCGACCTCCCGACTCCTACCCCAAGCACCACTGTATATGCCCTGTCCCCGAAAAGCAAGAAATAAAACATAAAATTTACGAATAAGGAAACATTTTTCCATCATTATGTCTGGGTTGCCCTTTGTGCGTATGGGACTCCTAAGGCATTTCAGCCTCTTACCAAGGCCACTATATTTTAATATCACGGTAGGAAAGAGAGATGATTCCTAGTCAACTGTATTTTTTAGTAATAGCTTGGTTACTGAATCTTATATTTAAAATCTGCTTCTGTAAATTATGCTGAAAAGTTTGCCATGAAAACTCTATTTTTTTATTAGAGTTATATTTGACACTTTTCATGGGAAAAGTTACTGTGAATAGTAAGAAATTTTGGTCCCTCAGTGACCCATGTTATTAATTTATTAGTGCTTCTTAAGTTCATGGATTAGAATGTATTCCCAAGTATTACTGACTGTACTATGGGTAGTAAATACATACCAAAACCAAACGTCTCAGATTTACTGTATCACATCTAGTAATCATTATATACCAAAGTATACCATATCTGATATGTAAAATCAGGAATCAAGTCCATTCGCCAAATTTCAAATTGATGTTAACGAATATTTTTGTGACAAATATGAAGGACCTCTATGAGTAAACTAGATACCATTAGTGTATTGTTATTTAATCTGTTCATCATTGACCTTTTGCATGCTTTTATCTGGTTCATATATATTTAATTTGCTTTTCCTCCCTGTGTCTGAAGGCTCTGTTTCTAGTATTTGTTGACACTGTTGTAAAGTTCAGCTCTATCAATAAAAAACAAGTTTGGACAGTATTTAAATATTGCAAATACTTTTAATTACACAAATCAAACATTAGGGCAGTTACATCAGTGGAGAAGAGCAGAGCCACCCTGCATGGACAGTGGCGCTTCCCTTCCGGTCAGCCAGAATAGGAATGAAACCACCTAAAATGGAAATGTCTTGGGGTAACGGCAGCAATAAATTAAAATGCCCAGAAGGATCAAGTACATACCTCGCAGTAATTCATGTTCCATTTTAAGACTTAATCTCCTGCCTCAACTTATTATGTATCTCTGTGTTGCCATTTTTTCCCTTTAAAGGTAATATTTTGCATTTCAGAAATGATTATTGATTTAAGAACTATTATCCAGCTCTAAGTACATGATGATTCTGTTTATATATGTACTTTGTTTTTGGATCACACCTGGCAGTGCTCAAGGATCACTTCTGGTGGGGATCCAGGGACCAGATGGGGTGCTGGGAATCAAACTCGGGCACATTTTTAATGTCTGGAAATGGTGATAGGCGGTGCTGCCAAAATTTTCCCATAAGACTAGAATTCTGGGCCAAGGAGTTAGTGCAGAGGGTAAGGCACTTGCTTATGGTTCCCTGGACCCTGCCAGAAGTGATCCCTGAGCTCAGAGCCAAGAGTAAACCCTGAGCACAGCCAGTCATAGCCCAACCCCACCTGCAAAAAAGTTTTTTTTTAAGAATAGAATTATTTTTTGTAGATCTAGTGCACAACCCTCTACCACTAACCCATTTAATAAATATTATCCTTCTAGAATCTGGGGGCATAGTACAGTGGGTAGGGTGCTAGCCTTATACAAGTCCAACTGGCGTTTGATCTCCAGCATCCCATATGGTCCCCCAGGCACTGCCTAGAGTAATTTCTAAGTCAAGAGCCAGAAGTAAGCCCTGAGCACAGCTGAGTGTGGCCCCCATTCACACACATATGCGTGCGTGCGCACACACACACACACACACACACACACACCCACACCCAGAAATGTTAGTCTTTCGGAATTGAGCTGATAGGGAAACAATGGTAAAGAATTAAAATTCTATTCTTACTAATGCGGCATGTTTTAAAAACAGTAAGCAACCATTTCAGCCTAAATAATTTTCATAAGCAGCCTTCTTTTCTCGTGCATTCCAAAATCTAGGAAGATACGAGTATTCTGGTAATAGGTTAAAGAGGTAATAAAATATACTGTATGCAATCAGAATGGAATGACAGAAAATTACTCAGTAGGGTACTTGAGAGTGCAGAACCTGATCTTTCTTAGCTTATCTTATAAAATGTACTTACACAAAATGACATTCAGTGGCCTTCCTTGCATCTCTGCCTTACAGTGTTTACTTACCATCAGCTTACTGACAACCAATACAAAAGGATGACAAAGCCATTGAGCAGTCTCGGCCACTGGCCTGGTGGCTGCTGTCCTTTTCTGCCCGCACCATTAGAAATTATTGGGAATTTTTGTGTCTAGAGAAAAGGAAGTGGTCTATATGCTAATAGGCTTATTCAGCTTTGCTCTTCAAAACCAACTTCAAGAAGGTTATCTTGAAATTCTAACAAGGGGGTTTCTTCTATTTATGAATGAAAGTAAGAGGTGGTGTCTATAAGCTTCCAGTAGTTCCCTGGTGCTGGAATTCCTACTTTAAGACTGTTCTACAGAATCTGAAAAACTCCCCTTTGCATATTTCTTAAATACTTTGAGCAGCACATGTTGATCATTAATTATTAATTAATTAATTAACCTGCCCAGACCCACATGAGTTAGGACTGTTTATTTGGTGGTCTCAGATCTATTTGCCTAATCTGAAAGCTGGTAACCCTGAAGATAACAGCAAGAACCGAGCCCGTTTTAGAATGTCCCTCCAGCCGCTGTATCGAGCCCAGCACCAGGCACATCGAGGAGTGAATGTGGAGCAGAAGTACATCAAGAAGAAAGTGGACCATCCGAATTTCCATTAGCTTACCCTCCTCCTGAAGTCCTAGTCTCCGTGCTATCCAAAGGATTCAGAGACCTGAACCAAACAGGGAGATTCACCTGTTAGGAAATAACTTGACTCAGACAAGAAGCAGGTTGTGAAACTGAGCTCGTGTGATGAGCTTGAGACACTCCTGTTTCACAGGCTCAGGTCAGGTAAAAAAATTCCCGTTAATACTGAAAACCTTAAAAAATATGCAAACTAACTCTGAAAAGTTATTGATCTGGGGAAAATCATCCGTGTTTGTTTTTCCTATTACTGTCAAATTGGAGTATTCTAGAAGCAGGTATGAATGAAACTGAAACTAAAGAGTTTGGATTCTTGTACATTTTTTTCTTTAGAAGAGCCCACTTAGACGAGTTAACAGTTCACTTTTTCACAAAAACAGAACATTATTAAAGTGCTCTTTGATAACAAATGATATTCCTAAAAAATTAGATTATAAATAATGTCATGTTTGTTATGATGATTGTTAGATTTTTTTTCTGAATCATTAGTGGCTGGAAATCCTGTAGCAACACTTAGTTTAACATTTTGGACCTCAGATACTGTGGCTGTCTAATATAAACCTTTAAAAAGTATCTGCTTGGCGAGCGAAGTATCTGCTTAGTATACTTGACTGTATGGCTCCCGGTAGTTTTTTAAAGTTTATGAAACTATATTTCTCAAATAAAATGTTTCCTACATAATTAAAAGTCGTTTTCTATTCTTTAAGCACATACACTTCTCTCCACTCACCACGACTAGCACTGCCAGATTTGTTTCTTTTTGGCTTTGAGGTAATTTTACTACATTTGCCATTTTTGCCTTTCACTGACTAAAGCTCGTAACATTCAGAGCTTCGAAGGACGGAGTGCAGGCCTGCTGTGTATAGGCCCATCCCTGGCATCTTACGGTCCCCGTTCACCACGCATCTGCTCCACTGAGCCACCAAGCCCTTACCCCTGAGCCCAGTGTCCATCCAGTGGTCCCCACATCCCCCAGTATCCCTCGGGAAATGCCTATCAAAATAAGTCTAGGGGCTGAAGTAATAGCACAGTGGGTAGGGTGTTTGCCATGCACGCAGCCGACTCAGGTTCGATTCCCAGCATCCCATATGGTCCCCTGAGCAGGAGTAATTACTGAGTGCAAAACCAGGAGTAACCCCTAAACATCGTCAGGTGTGACCCAAAAAGCAAAATAATAATAATAATAAGTCTAGTAGTTCTTTGCTCTTATAAGTTATCTGCACAGCTCCTCAAAATTGCCTGAGATGCACCAAATGTAAAGATACCACATTTCAACTAGAAACAGCCTCATGGAAAGCCAACTGGGAAATCCCTTGGCCCATGAAAACAGGCATCTTACTTAAACAGAACTGGTATAATGTGCATTTAAAAGCCTAACTTCCTGGTGATAATCATCATTGCTAATGCCTCGCTGCCAGCTAAAAGTAAGCTTTTAAAGAAATTTATTAAAGTAAAAAGTAACCTTCGCCCCTGTGTTAGCATTTGCACAGTGGCACAGTATCTGTCATAGACGAGCCAGCTAAGTAGATAGATGGTGTGTTGCCTCTCACCAGGAGCCCAGACCTTGGGGCAGGCAGGATCAGCTCAGCAGATATGCAGCACCAGGGTTGGAACACACAGCCTCCCATGTGCCAAGTAAGCTCCTTACGCTTCTGGGTTCCAGGCACCTCACTGAACTTGGTTTCTGAAATGAAGAGGATGATCCTCAACATGTAAGCTTATATAGGCATCTGTTTTTATTTAGGAAGCAACTGAGTTCATGCTTCCTAGAAAACAGTGCGGAGATTTCTGCAAAATTAAAAAATATAACTGTCATCTGATCCAGCAGTTCTATTTCTAGGTATCCAAAGAACACAAAAACTAATTCAGAGAGAGAGAGAGATGTGCACATCTGCAATGCAATTTGCAACAGCCAAGTTACAGAATCAAACGAAGTTTCCAACAATAAATGGATAAAAAAGGTAAAGGTAAAGGCCCTCCCATTGTTCATCGATTTGCTCGAGCGGGCCCAGTAACGTCTCCATTGGAGACTTTGTTGTTACTGTGTCTGGCATATCGAATACGTCACGGGGAGCTTGCCAGGCTCTGCCGTGCGGGCGAGATACTCTCGGTAGCTTGCTGGGCTCTCCGAGAGGGGCGGAGGAATCGAGCTCGGGTCGGCCATGTTGGCTGCGTGCAAGGCAAACGCCCTGCCGCTGTGCTATTGCTCCAGCCCTAATAAATGAATAAAGAAGATATAACACAACACAGACTTATGTATAGAGAGATATACGCACACATACAATGAGACACTCAGCCAATAGAAAAGATGACATTTCGCCTTTTGATAAAATACAGGTGAACTGGAGGGAACAGTGTCTGGTGAAAACAAATACTTCAGCGGATCACAGAAGAGAAAACAGTTTGGAGCACTGGTTTCCGGGGTATGAACCCAGGTCCTCCTAGCTGCAATGCATGTGCTCTACCACTGAGCCACACCTCTGGCCCCAAGAGCTATTTAACTTTTATTTCGAAGAGTTAATTAAGGACACAAAGGACAAGACTACTAGAAGGGGTAATAAAGCACCACATAATCTTTAAGATAAAACGATTTGTGTCCGCATAAACTGGTTAACGGTGAGGTGCACAGATGGCTGTATTGCAGGTCTGTCTTCTGCGCCATCCTTGCCCTGATCCATGTACGCCAGAAAGTTCCCTTGCGCTGTTTTCCGTAGATTTATTCCCGCCTGCCTGTCCATGTCAGCTGATGTTCTGTTATCTCTTGCCTGAAGTTAGTGTTTTCCGTTCTTGATTTTCATGAAAGTAGAATTCCACATGTTCTCTTGCTTCTGCCTTTGTTCCTCTGAATGTCTGTGAAGTTCATTCATGCTGCAGAGATTCATAATTGGTTCTTTTTGTTCTCCTGTTCCCTTCACTGCATGGGCACCCCACAATTTTGTCTCTCGGCCTCGGACACTTAGATTGTTTAGTTTGGGGTGATGAAAAGTAAAGTTATTATGAACATTCTTCATATAACGTTTTCATTT